CATGGAGTCGGTTCCAACTCATAGCAAACCTGTACGGGGTTTCTGAGGCTGTAAATCTTTACAGGAGCAGAACACCTCATCTTTATCCCATGGAACAGCTGGTAGTTTTGAACTGCTGACCTGAGGTTAGCAGCCCAATGCGTAACCACTACACTACCAGAGCTCCTTTTAAATACCAGTAGCTAATTTTAAATCTTTCTTAATATTCTATAGCCCAAACATAACAATTTGATGATGTCTAAAATATCTAGAGTGGAGAAATATTTAGTCGGTCCAACCACCAGGATCTACTGAATTATAAAATGAAGGAGTGTAAGAAGGAAAAGGTCAGAGAACGTGGATATTATCAAGAGAAAGTGAAATTTAAAGGGTCAAAGAGAACTTGAACAATAGCTAGAGAAAATGAAACTTAAAAAGTGACAAGGTACAAAGGCCAACTTTGATGACGTCAAGGAAGCAAAGGAAGAAGAATCAGTTTAGCACACCCTGAAAACTCTTCAAATACTAAGAGTTGTGTTTGTACTCCACTTGAAGTTAAGATAATAAATAGTCTCAAATCTATCAGGCTCATTTTTCAATTTCAACATTAAAGAAACATAACTGTCCTTCAAAGGACAAAAAACAGCCTTTTAAGTCAAGATTCCAATATATACTTACGGCAGGTGCTCTTGCAACTATGTGTGTGTTGGGGGGGGCGGGGGGTTATATACAAAACCACAAGGGAAGCACATACTCAGCAGTTCTCAAGCTGAAGGAACTGAAGAAAATATTCAAGCCTTAAGTTGCAATACTGAAGGATGCCATGGGCAAAATATTGAATGCCACTGGAAGCATCAAAAGAAGATGTAAGCAATATAGAGAGGCAAGGTACCAAAGAGAATTAACCAGTGTTCAGTCATTTCAAGAGGTACCCTATGATCAAGAACTGATGACAGAAGAAGTCCAAGGTGCACTGAAGGCATTGTTGAAAAGCAAGGCTCGAGGAACTGATGGAATAAAAACAGAAATGTTTCAACAAACTGATACAGCACTAGAGGCACTCAGCCAAGAAATTTGGAAGACAGCTACCTGGCCAACAGATTGGAATAGAACATATTTGTGTCCATTCCAAAGAAAGGTGACCCAACAGAATGTGGAAATCATCAATCTACATCATTAATATCATATGCAAGTAAAATTTTGCTGAAGATCATTCAAAAACAGTTGCAGCACTATATGCACAGAGAGCTTCCAGAAACTCAAGCAAGATTCAAAAAAAAACATGGAATGACAGATATAATGGCCGACAGCAAATGAATCTTGGCTGAAAGCAGAGAATACCAGAAAGATATTTACTTGTGCTTTATTAACTATGCAAAGGCTGTCATGTGTGGATCGTGACAAACTATGGCTAAATTGCAAAAAAATAGGAATCCCAGACACTTAATTGTGCTCATCAGGAACTGTACATAGACCAAAAGGAAACTGTTCAAGCAAAACAAGTAGATACTGAGTAGTTTACAATCATAAAAGGTGTGTGCCAGGGTTTTTAATTTTTCAGCATTCTTACTCAATCTGTATGCTGAGCAAATAATGCAAGAAACTGGATTATATGAAGTAGAACGTGGCATCAGGATAGAAGGAAGACTCATTAACAACCTGTGATATGCAGATGACACAACTTTGCTTGATGGAAATGAAGAAGACTTGAAACACTTAATGATGAAGATCAAAGACCACAGGATAGTATGGGTTGCACTTCAATGTAAAAAGAAATACAAAAGCTTCACGTTGTTGTTGTTGTTAGGTGCCATCAAGTCAGTACCGACTCATAGTGACCCTGTGAGCAACAGAATGAAACACTGCCCAGTCCTGGGCCAACCTCACAATTGTTGCCACGCTTGAGCCCATTGATGCTACCACTTTGCCAATCCATCTCGCTGGGGTCTTCCTCTTTTTCTCTGACCCTCCACCTTACTAAACATGACATCCTTCTCCAGCAACTGGTCCCTCCTGACAATATGTCAGAAGTACGCAAGACAAAGTTTGGCCATCCTGGCCTCCAAGGAGCACTCTGGTTGCACTTCTTCCAACACACATCTGTTGGTTCTTTTGGTAGCCCATGTTGTTGTTGTTGCTGTTGTTAGATGCCATCGAGTCAGCAATGACTCATAGCGACCTTATGCACAGCAGAACAAAGCAATGTCCGATCCTGGGCCAACCTCACTACTGTTGCCACACTTGAGTCCATCGATGCTGCCACCTGGCAAATCCATCTCGTTGGAGGTCTTCCTCTTTTTCTCTGACCCTCCATCTTACTAAACATGATATCCTTCTCCAGCGAATGTTCCCTCCTGACAATATGTCCAAAGTATGAGAGATGAAGTTTGACCATCTTGGCCTCTAAGGAGCACTCTGGCTGCACGTCATCCAAAACAGATCTATTGGTTCTTTTGGCAGCCCATGGCACTTTTAATATTCTCCTCCAACACCATAACTCAAAGGCATCAATTCTTCTACAGTCTTCCTTATTCACTGTCCAGCTTTCGCATGCATATAAGGTTATTGAAAATAGTATGGCTTGGGTCAGGCGCACCTTAGTCGTCAAGCTGACATCTTTGCTCTTCAACACTTTAAAAAGATCTTGTGCAGCACATTTGCCCAATGCAATACGCCATCTGATATCTTGACTGCTGCTTCCGTGAGTGTATATAGTTGATCCAAGAAGAATGAAATCCTTGACAACTTCAATCTTTTCTCCATTGGTAAGAATGTTGTTTATTGGTCCAGTGGTGAAGATTTTTGTTTTCTTGACACCAAGATACAATCCATACCGTAAGCTGTGCTCCTTGATCTTCATCAGTAAATGTTTTAAGTTCTCGTCACTTTCAGCAAGCAAGGTTGTATCATCTGCATATTGAAGGTTGTTAATGAGTCTTCCTCCAATCCTGATGCCACACTTTTCTTCATAGAACCCAGCTTCTCATATTATTTGCTCAGCATACAGGTTGAATACGTATGGTGAAAGAATACAACCATCACACACCTTTCTTAATTTTAAACCATTCTGTGTTCCCATTTTCTGTCCAAACAAATACCTCTTGGTCCATGTACAAATTCCTCATGAGTACAATTAAGTGTTCCTGAATACTCATACTTTGCAATGTTGTGCAGAGTTTATCATGATCCACACAATCAAAAGTCTTCATACTAGACCAAAAATAAACATCTTGATAAATGAAGAAAAGACCGAGGCTATCAAAGACTTCATTTTGCTTGGATCCACAATCAACACTCATAGAAGCAGCAATCAAGAAATAAAACGATGCTTTGTTTTAGGCAAATATGCTGCCCCTTACAGTGTTAAAGAGCAAAGATGTCAGTTTGAGGACTAAGGTGTGCCTGACCCAAATCAGGGTATTTTCAGTGACTAAATTTGCATGTGAAAGTTAGACAATGAATAAAGAAGACCACAGAAGAATCAATGGATTTGAATTGTAGTGTTAGAAAAGAATACTGAAAGTACCATGGACTGTCAGAGAAACAAACAAATCTGTCTAGGAAGAAGTACAGCCAGATGCTCCTTAAAATTGAGGATGGCGAAGGAGGTAGGCTTGCAGAATGTGCCCTTTGGTTGTTTTTTTAAGTTGTTGTTAAGTGCCGTCGAGTTTGGTTGTTTAAATGATTATATATTCCCGAGTGTTTGGGTGTATATCCCTCCCCAACAACAACAACAAAAAAAAAACAAAAAAAAAAAAAACAGAGGGAATAGAAGCAAGAAAAAAAAGTGAGGATGGCGAGATTTTAGTCTCTCGTACTTTAGACATGTTGTCAGGAGGGATAAGTCCTGGGAGAAGAAACATCATGATTGGTAAAGTGGAATGAAGAGCAACAAAAAAGAAGAAGATGCTCAATGAGACTGACTGACGGACACGGTAGCAGCAACAATGGGTTCAAACACAGCTGTGAGGCTAGCACGGGACCAGGCAGTGTCTCATTCCATTGTACAAACAGGCGCTATGAGTTGGAACTGACTCGACAGCAACTAATAACACTACATGCACGAGGCGTTTCAAAAACTGGGGGGAAAATGAAATTTAAAAACAATGGAACTTTTCCATAAACTTTCTGAAGCCCCATCATGTATATAAGATATACATCATTTTTGTTGTTATGAAGTGTTGTCGAGTCAGTTCTGACTTACAGCAACCCTGCATTGGGTTCCCAAGAAGCGGCTGGTATAATATGCATGTATGTAAATATATGCTGTTCTGAATTGATCTCAAGTCATGTCTAACTCATAGTGACCCTACAGGATAGAAGAGAACTGCCTCATAACGTTTCCAAAGCTGTCATCCTTACAGAAAACCCACTGCCACCGTGACGATTCTGATTCCGAGACCTTACATAGAGTTTCAGATGCTGTAAATCTTTACAGGAATAGAGACTCATCTTTCTCCTGTGAAATGCTTGGTGGGTTTGAAGGCTGAACTCCTCATGGTGCTGTAGGATCAGTTCTGGACTGCTAATCACAAGGTTGGCAATTCAAACCCACCAGCTGCCCTTGGAAACCTTATACAGGGCAGCTATGAGTGACAACCAACTCAATGGCACTTTAACAGCATGTCTTTACAGAAGCAGACCGCCACATCTTTTTTTCCAGAGAGCAGCTGGTAAGGTCAAACCACCAATCTGGCACCTAACCACTGTGCCATCGATAGATAGATAGATAGATAGATAGATAGATAGATAGATAGATAGATATAGAGATGCTGTTGTTGTTATGTGCCGTGGAGTCTATTCTGACTCATAGAGACCCTGTACAGGGTTTCTGAGGCTGTAAATCTTTACGGGCACAGAAAGTCTCATCTTTCTCCCGCGGAACAGCTAGTAGTTTGAATTCCTGACCCGGAAATTAGCAGCCTGATTTATAACCACTACTCTACCAGAGCTCCTTATATATATAAAACCTTAGCATCTTCATGCCTAAGTAAATGGAAAGGAGAAAATACTCTTCATACCTCTGTCCCCGACGCGCTCCTTCACCCACTGGGTGGCTGCAGCGATGCTCTCTGTCTGGGTGACATCCAGAATCACTGTCTCCAGTCTGTCTGATGTCTTTTCTCTCAGTTGCTCAGCTCCGTGCTCCGTCAGACACCCAGCCAGCACCCTCAGGCCTCGTAAGTCCAGCTGTCTGGCCAGCAGGTTCCCAAAGCCGGAATCACAGCCCGTGATGAAGACATACTTGTCTTGCAGGTTGCTTATTACCTGTCTCTCACGATACCAGCGCAATAGGTAGTAGAAGCCCACAAGAACTGCCAGATAGAGCCACATGGTAAGAGTCCCTCTTTCTCCTTTGATAGAAAGAAAACAGTTTGGATTTTCATTTATATCTTCCTTCTTTAACCACTATTATTTATGTGCCAGGCATTGCATAAGATGCTGGGCACTCCATATTGACTAATACCCTCAAGACACCACAATTTTGAGTAATGACTCAAGTAGGTTCCCAAAGAAATACACTGCAGTTTACCAGGTGCAAGAAGAGAAGTCTATACACAGTATAATGAGGCAGCAAAGGAGGAAGAACCACTGGCTGACTACATTAGGGAAAGCTTCACAGAAGCAGTGATCGTGGAACTACTTCCTACATGACAAGAAAAAAATCTAATCCATAGCTGCAAAGTTGGTTCCAACTTATGGTGACCCTGCATGTTTCAGAGTAGAACTGTTCTTCACAGGCTTTTCAATGGTTTGTGATCTTTCTGAACAGATCACCAAGGAACCTCTGGGTTAATTTGAACTCCAACCTTTCAATTAGTAGCCAAAGCACTTAACCATTTGCACCACCTAGGGGCCTTGCATTATGTTTGTATACTTTTCTCATCTCCCCTATTGCTACTATTAATATTGGTAGTTTGTTAAAGTGTCATCAAGTCAGTTCCGACTCATAGTGACCCTGTATAGGGTTACCACAGAGTGGCTGGTGGGTTGGCAGTCCAGTGTTTATCCTACAGTTCCATAACAGGACTATTAATAATAGCTATCATTTATTAAATGCCAAGTATCTACCTGCCATTTTACATATTACCTCATTCAATCTTTATTATGAGTTATTTCGTAGGTTAGGTAAGTTCCCATTGAGCAACTGGTTGGCAAAGCCAAGATTTGCACTCCAAAGCTGTCTGACTCCCAAGTCCACACTGTCACCAGTATGCCATGCTGTTTCTAAGACTGGTACCTCCACTAAGGCAAACGTTATCTGTACTGACTGTAGATACAGCCATCCTTAGAAGCTGTGATAAAAATGTCACCAAGCAAACACCCAGAAATACTTCTCCTTCCCAGGCAAGATTCCCAGAGTGCTGCAGAAGCGATACCTGGTGAGTAAGAAGGCTCCGCTCACCTTCCACTTGCCCCAGGATGTCCACTCTGATGGGGAAGTTTCCAGAAGTCCCACGGACATGCCACAGGCCTCAGCCCTTTTCCTACACAGGCAGAATCCCCATCACTAAAGTAGGCTTCAAGGTTTTATCCTAAGTCTTTTAGACAAATTGACAAAAGACATAGAGAAAATTGCTTCTGTATTTGCTATAAAATTCTTATAAAGAACACAGTACTGGTGTACAATGCACAAGATCTCTAATGACCTGTCACACATTTAATACCTGGAAAGATTGTCTTTTTGAAGAAAACAGTATTTGTTGTTGCTAGTCACTGCCAAGCCAACTCCATCTTGTGGTGACCCTATGTGTTCAGAGTAGAACCGCTCCATAGGGTTTCCAAGGCTAGGCCTTTCAGAAGCAAACCTCCAAGTCTTTTTTCACAGGCGAGCCTCTGGGTAGGGTCAAACCATCAACCTTTTGGCTAGTAGTCGAGTGCTTAGCTGTTTGTGCCATCTAGGAATTCTTGATTATTTTTAGATTATCTACTTTTTCATATTATCTTAGATTTTAAAGGCAAAAGTGAAAACTTAAAAAAAAAAAAAAGTGAATACTGACTGTCAGTAATTCTATCAATGTTTATAAACAGCCTTTTTTCATCTCTTCATTTTCATTGTTTTTTCTATTTTTTATGTTTGCATTTTAACCTGCCTAACCTACACCACCACCAGAGCTCCTTTCTTTTATTTTTGATTGGCTCAAACTTTTTTTAATAAGTTATGTGTCTAAGAATAAAACTTCACTGACATATCCTCCTCTCTCAGCCTAATTTCTAAAGCTGCCCTCCTTTCTTAACTGGGAAAAAGTTAGTAACTACTTGGGCAGCTTATAACTTGTATTTGCATTGTTTACAAATACTCCTCATTTCAAGTCAGTATATGAAATTCCACAAACAAAAAAGGAAAAATATTACCTTACAAGATCTTCTTTTGGAAAATAGTCTATGTTGGATTTCCAGTTCCTCTGGAATTGCGCTTCTGTCCTCCACAGAACAGAAATACAGCAAGTGGAAAGGAATAATGGGACTAATAAAATCCTTGTTGATCAGATATGGGGTTAAAATTTTTTTCAACTACTCTCATTGATGGGAGTTAGGGCAGTAAGCCAGGTTAATCACAGAGCTTCAGCAACACAATTCTCATGGCCCAAATAAAAAAGGTGCATTTGACTTATCCAAACTTTCACAATATAGCTATCAGCATTAACCATGAAAGAGCTGATTTTCCCCACTCTCAAGAAGTCACAATTTGCAGTAGAGCATATCCAGGGAGTCCTATTTCTACATGTAAAATCACTCTTGATTTCTAATCAATTGAAATAAAATTTAAAAGTTGACACCAAGTCAATTTCAACACACAGCAACCACACAGAGTAGACCTGCCCCATAGGGTTTCCAAGGCTGTAATCTTTGCAGAAGCAGACTGCACAGCTGGTGGATTTGAACTGGTGAGCAAGGCAAGTGCTTAATCACTGCACCACCAGGACTCATTTTCTAACCAATAGCTTTCCTAAACACAAATGGGGTGAAGAGCAAAAGACTAAAGAAAACAGAGTGACAAAATTTCTTTCAGAGATGTTCATTACAAACCAGTATTGGAAAAGTTGAGGGATCTTTTAAGAAAATATAAAACCATATTCACGACCTCTATCCAAACATGGGGAGCACAGTGGCTACATAGAATAAGCACTGGACTGCAAACCACAAGGTCCGAGATTCAAACCCACTAGGCACTGCACAAACGAGCTCTGGTAGCGTAGTGGTTACGAATCGGGCTGCGAACCTTAAGGTCAGCGGTTCGAAACTACCAGCCGCTCCGCGGGAGAAAGATGAGGCTTTCTACTCCCGTAATGATTTACACCCTATGGGTCGGACCCGACTCGATGGCACTTAACAACAACAACAAGGCACTGCGCAGGAGAAAGATAAGGCTTTCTGCTCCAGTGAAGATTGAAAGCCTTGGATAAAAACCCTATACAGAGCCCCTATGAGTCGGAACCAACTCGACAGCACTTACCAACAACAGTCTTTCACCACCACACCAAACACACACACCTCATTTGCTCAGAAAGGTGTATCCAGTCCTGGAAAACTTGAGGGACTTCACAGAGGCACCTCTACTTGGCAGTGCGCTCTTCTGCACTGCCTTTACAACACTCCCCTCTTGTGGCAAGAGTTGAAACTGCTCCATTTCGTTATACCAAGTTGGCAGTTCTCACCAGTGTCCTTGCTCAGCTTGAAAATCAGATGTTGCCAAAACGAAAAGCAGAAAGAAAAAAACTGCCCTAGTCAGCCACAGAGTTTCCTGTACTCTCAGCCCCCAGCAGGGTAGGCTGATGTGGTTGTGTGCTGTCCAGTTCCAAACTAATAACGACCCTATAGGACATAGGAGAACGGGGCCCATAGGATTTCCTAGGCTGTCATCTTTATGGGAACAGGTCATAAGGGCTCTTCTCCCTCCAAGTCTCCCACAGAGCAGCTAATGGGCACAAACTGCCTTGACCTTCTGGTTAGCAGCCAAGCACCAAGCGTTTAACCACTGCACCAGGAGGACTCCTTCAAGGTTTTTACTTATCCTCCTTTTGTTTGCTCCCATTTATATGAAATAGATGAATGTAAAGAGATTAAAGCTTATTAGTGGTTACCGAAGGTCGGAGGCAGGAGAGAGTGGAAGTCTTGAATTAGAGGATACTGAGTTTCTGCTAACAGTGGTAAAATCATTTGGAGATGGAGTGGGGGTAGTTGCATAATATGATAGATTGTAATCAACATCACTGAACTGTACATGGACAAACTGTGGAATGGACAAATGTTTTGTTATACAACGGTAAGTCAAAAGTATTGCTACAAAATCACAGAAACTTTGATTAGAAAACAAAAATATCAAAATGTTAACCTACTGTTAACATATCTTTCATCTAGGCCTATACACTTTTGAAGGTGGTGTTTCTATCTCGCTAACCCATCCCTGAAGAATTCGGTGCTCTTCTATTTACACCACATCAAAAGGCAGTTTTGGCATCCTTAAGGGACTCAAATCATGTTCCTTTTCAATGTTCTTTAAGTTTGGGGAACCAAAAAGAAGTCTGAAGGGGCTGTAGGTTTTCCAACTAAATTCTCCTAAAGTGAGCAAATGTACTGTCATGCTACGGGGGCAGAAATTCCTCAGTGCCAATCTCCTGGCCTTTTTCTCACCAATGCAGTTTTCAATTTTCTTAAAACCTACTTATAATAAGACCCATGATTGTCCTTTAAGAAAATCTAGATTACCCCTTGGGAATCCTTTCTGAGTTGACCCCTCTACCTTAAATTTAACTGCTCCAGCAGAAAGCCACTGTTTTGAAGGTATCCTTTCTTTTTTTTTAAAGGCATTCTAACATGAGTAAGGGGAGTTCTGGCATGGAACTCTGCGTTTATGTGCTGGACTCCAAGATCGGCTTGAACCTCAAGGCTAGTGGTTCAAGCTCACCAGCCGCTCCTTGGAAACCCTATGCAGTGTCACTGTGAGTCTAAACGGACTCGACAGCACTTAACAACAACAACATGACTAAGGAGTCCTGGTGTGGTGCTATTGGATAAGTATTAGAGTGCTAACAAGGTTGGCGGTTCAAACCCACCAGCTGCTCCTTGGAAACCCTATATGAGTTGGAACTGACTCCACAGCATTTAACAACAACATGACTAAGGGGAGCGCAATGGCTCTGTAGCATAAGCACAGGACTGCAAACCACAGGGTCAGTGGTTAGAGCCCACCAAATGCTCCACAGGAGAAAGATGAGACTTTCTGCCCCAAAAAAGATTTTTTAAAGCCTCGAAAACCCTATACAGGATCGCTGTGACTAGACGAGACTCTATGGCACTTAACAACAACATGACTAAGACAAACAAAAAATATATTTAAGCATATCAATACAATTGGTGGATGGCTATGAAAACTTGTCTGCAGCCATCTACTGATTGCAGTGATATGCTTAAACACGTTTTGTTTGGAATAAACCCGTGTTGGCATGAACTGGAGCCCTAGTGGCAATTTTTTATTTACTCTTATACAGTGAAAGCTGGAACCTGTGTATGGCAGAAATTAAATAGAAAAATGTTGGATTATTGTTGTTGCTCTTGCTAAATGCCATCAAGTCAGTTCCGACCCATAGTGACCCTGTATACAGTTTCCAAGGAGCAGCAGATGAGCTTGTGAGAAACCTGCAAGACCTGGAAAAGTTCCAGCAGATAATGGCACCAAGTTCCAGCTCTCACAGTTCCACTGTATGGTATACGTTTTTACCACAATGAAACAACTAAAAGTAAATCCAGGGTGGATATGGTTCTAGAAAAGAGTACTCTGCAAAGCTATTAGAAGAGCGAAGACCCTAAGGCTCTGAAATTCAACTTATCTAAAATGATGGTGGTGGTTAAGTGCTGTGCAGTCGCTTCCAACGCATAGCGACCCTATATAGGGTTTCAAAGGCTGTAAATCTTTACGGGAGCAGAAAGCCTCATCTTTCTCCCGCAGAACAGCTGGTAGTTTCCAACGGCTGACCATGAGGTTCCCAGCCCGATTCGTAACCGCTACGCTACCAGAGCTCCTTAGAGCTCCTTACAGGGCACATAAAAAATTAAAATTAAAAAATCATTGTCAGTAAGTCAATTCGGACTCATAACGACCCCATAGGGTAGAGAAGCGCCCCATAGTGTTTCTGAGACTATAAATCTTTACAGGAGCAGGTAGCCTCATCTTGCACCCACAGAGCGGATGATGGTTCCAACCGCTGAACCGCTGACTTTGCAGTTAGCAGCCCAAAGCTTAAACTACTCCGCCAGGGCTCCATAAGCAGGATAGGTTGTAACTGTTGTTAAGCGCCATCGAATCACTTTTGACTCACAGTGACCCTGTACAGGGTTTCCAAAGAGAGGCTGGTAAGTTTGAACTGCCGATCTTGCGGTTCAAACAGACCTTCAGGTTGAGTGCTTATCCTATGGCACCATACCAGGCGTCCAAACAGTATAGGTGGTGGTGGTGGTTATGTGCTGTAGAGTCGGTTCCGACTCATAGCAACCCTGTACAGGGTTTCCGAGGCTGTAAATCTTCACAGGAGCAGAACGCCTCATCTTTCTCCCGCAGACCAGCTGGTAGTTTAGAACTGCTGACCGTGAGATTAGCAACCCGATTCGTAACCACTACGCTACCAGAGCTCCTTAAACAGTGTAAGTAGGGGCTGTGGAAGTCAACAATCAAGATTTGCCCAGGAAGTTAGATCTCTTGCAATATTAAAATACGTTTGATTTGCCCACAGGAGCTGCAGATGATAATCATTTTTCAATTTTCAAGATTAGGATAATAAATCCACAGCTGCTAGACACTATTCTCACCTGACTTTCCTATTACTATGAAAATAAACTCATAAAAATTATGATTTTCCTGAAATTGTAGAAAATGTTTAACTAAAAGGGAGGCGTAGTTAATCTTTCATTTCAGGAACCGCCGATCCCAGGGCCATCAAGAAGGAAGAGGATGAGTGGAGCGTGAGATCCTTACCTAGACAAGCGGCGACAGCAGAGGCAGTGGCATGGAGAGACAGAGTAGCTGCAGGCTGTAGGCCCACGGACTGAGTAAGGCTTTGTGTCTGCCCGCAGGAGGTTGGCTTACAGAATGTGCCCTTTGGAAATTTAAATGAATAAATATTTTTTTGTTTTGTTTTAAATGTGTACATCAAATATTTTTGCTTTGTTCATTTGTAAAATGTAAATGGGGAACCACAGCCAGGAAGTAGGATAAATGTTGTTGCATGGAGGATTTGTAATCATTGAGCTGAAACAAAGTGTATGATTTGTTGAATGTAAGGCTGATAATTTTGCCTATAAACCTTCACTCAATTCACACACAAAAAAAAATTTTTTTTAAATGATGGTTTTCAAGTTATCTGATACTCATGAGATTATCAGGTTGCCCACCACAACACACAATTGCAATGAGATGTAGCTTTTATTCAGTAGGAATGATTAGCATATCAATAGCAAATGGGCTTTTTTCATAGCCGTAAAGCTCTCCAAGATTTTGCAGCTTCCTCTAATTCATATTTTAGTGTTCCTGGGTTTTCTATTGGATTTGGTAATTCTATTTAGGTATTGAAGAACCAATTTCCAAAATCTTTTTTTTAAATGCCGGTTTGATTGCTTAAATGTGTTATTTCTAAAACATTCATAAAGTAAGAATGGATTCATATTTATGATTTAATCTCAATAATTTAAGTCAACATGCAGAAGGTCTCACCTTTCGGAGATCTTCCGGGAATAAAATGAGCTCCTCAGCCCACGTGAGCAGCGGATGTAGTGTAGGCGCTACTGCGCCCTGATTACTAGCAAACCCAATCCCGAAGCAGGAACTACATATCCCAGCGTCCCCGACACACAGGGAACCCAGTACGCCTGCGCAGTGAGGACGCCCTGGCTGCGTTTTTCCCGCCAACTGTTGGGGTATTTCGGCCCTGGTCGAATTTCTTGCTCCATGGAGACGTTTGACCCTGCCGATCTACCCGAACTGCTTAAACTTTATTACCGGAGGCTCTTTCCCTACGCCCAATACTATCGCTGGCTCAACTATGGCGGAGGTGATGAGGCGAGGAGTAGGGTGGGTAGTGGGGTTGGCAAGGGAGTATAAGAAGGTTCCGGGCGGGATGTTTTTGTTATTAAGTGCCGTCGAGTTGGTTCCGATTCATAGTGACCCTGTATAGGGTTTCTGAGGAGCAGCTGTTGAGCTTGAACCGCCGACCTTGCAGTTCAAACTGCTTTACATTCAGGCGCATTAACCCATAGCGTTACACCGATATGAATGGCTTTATGAAGTACCTCCTGTGAGCCAGGCTTTGTGCCCGGCGCCTTCCTACGTTATCTCGAGTCCGCCCCACCAGCTCTAAGGTGGAAGTGGACCGAGAGGCTATAATATATAATAACCAGCCTACAGCCACACAGTGAAAGACAGTACCGTTGCTGTTCCAGGCTCACGTTGTTATGGTTAAGTGCCAACGGTACCGACTTATACTGACCCTGTGTAAGGGTTTCCAAGGAGCGGCTGGTGGGTTTGAACCACGGACCTTACAATTAGCAGTCCAGTTCTTATCCGACAGTGCCACACCAAGACTCCAGATTCACTTGGTGCTCCATTTACCTCCCATGGTGCCTAAGCAAGGGTTGGTTACTGGGTTGTACTTGTAGCATGAAATCTTCACAGTGAATCTATATCAAGGAACAGATGAGGGGCTCTGGGAGAACGAAAGGTACTTTTATTTTCACAGCTGATAAAATATATTTGTGTTTTCCCATCATTTGACTTTTCTGTAAAATGCAGAATTTTTTGTTTTGAGTTGTTCCCACCCATAGCGACCCTGTATAGGGTGTTTCCAAGGAGCAGCTGGTGAGCTTGAACCACTGACCTTGAGGTTCAAACCGACTTTGCAGTCCAGCACATTAACCCACAGCGCCAAGCCAAGACTCCCCTTCAATTAAGGGTCTAGTTAGTCTTGTCCATTTTTATTTTTTATTTTTTTATATCTAGGGCAGTGTTGGACTCACTAAATGTTTTCTCATTTATCAAATGTTGTAATGCTGAGCTGAGTAAAGTAACAGATAAGCTTTAAAATGTAAATTTCTTTTGCAGTGATAAAGAATTATTTTCAACACCGTGAATTTTCATTCACATTGAAAGATGACATTTACATTCGCTACCAATCCTTCAACAACCAGAGTGATCTAGAAAAGGAGATGCAGAAAATGAATCCATACAAGATTGATATAGGTGCAGTATATTCCCACAGAGTAAGAAATCTAATTTTAATGTATTTGTTTTATTTTTAAACCAGGAATGGGTTGGTTCCCCCAGTGTTAGGTATAAACTTTTTAGAGTTTGTTGTTGTTGTTAAGTACCATGGAGTCAGTTCCGATTCATAGTGACCCTAGAGTTTACTCAACTATTAATTCAATCCCAAACTCTGTCAATTGTCTTAATATCCCAGTGTATTCAGAGCTGTCAGGTCTGTCAGTTTTATGTTAAAGAAATTTCTCCTGAAGATTTCTGACCTCTCCACTCTGGACTGATTTCTTTAGGCCTGATGAATATATATGATTTTGTAATCCGCTGGTAGCCATATGAGCTAAACATTGGGCTGCTAATCACAAGGTTGATGGTTCAAACCCACCAGGTGTTCTGCAGGAGAAAGCTGAAGCTATCGCTTCCGTAAAAATTTACAGTCTCAGGAACCCTAAAAAGTAATTCTACTGTATCCTATTGTTAAGTGCCGTTGAGTCGGTTCCGACTCAGAGCAGCGACCCTGTATAGGGTTTCCAAGGATCAGCTGGCAGGTGTGAACCACCAACCTTGCAGTTAGCGTCCTGTGCTTCTCCACAGCACCACAGCAGGCCTACACTCTATATTCTTTGTTAGAATTAACTTGATGGCAGTGGAGGTGGAGTCTCCTTTCACCATCACTCTGGATTCCTTTCATCTTTCTCCTGGGTTTCCCAGATCCTATGTCCTCTTCTTTCTTGGCTCCCTTATTTTGATGAAACATGTTTTCTAGGAGCTTCCTGAGAAAATATGCATAGAAGACAAAATTTTTGACACTTCATATAACTGCAAAGTGTCTTCACTGTGCTTTTATACTTCACACTGATGGTTGAGTTTGGAAATCATTTCACCTCAGAATTTTTAAGACATCGCTCCATTGTTGTCTTCTTTCTAATGCTGCTCTAAAGATGACTGATGCCATTCTGAGTCTTGTTCTGTGTGTTGGATCTGGAAACTACTAGGATTTTCTCTTTATCCCTAATATTCTAAAATTTCACAAGGCTGTGTCTTGATATGCATTTTTTGTTGTTTATTGTGCTAGATACTTGATGAGCCTATTTAATCATAAGATTGTATCTTTCAGTTCAGAGAAATTTTCCCTTTTTATTTGTAATACTTTTAATAATTGCTGTTGGTAGGTGCCATTGAGTCAGTACCAACTCATAGCAACCCTATGCACAATAGAATGAAACACTGTCCAGTCCTGCACCAACCTCACAATTGTTAATACGTTTGAGCCCATTGCTACTGCCACTGTGTCAATGAGTCGGAACTGACTTGACAGCATTTTTAACAATAGGACAAAGTAGGCTTTTTGTTGTTGATGTTCCTGAGTCTGTAAATTTTTATGGGAACAAATAGCTTTGGCTTTCTCCTGCAGAGCATCTGGTGGGTTTAAACCACCAACCTTGTGGTTGGGGGTCTTCCTCTTTTTCTCCGACCCTCCACCTTACCAAACATGATATCATTTTCCAAGGACTGGTCCCTCCTGATAATATGTCTGAAGTATGAGAAATTGTCATTTTTATCTTTTAATGTGATTTTTCTTCAAATTTTCTGAAGCCCCCTTGTATAAATTTTCCTGTTTTCTCTAGAAAAATGTAAAGTCAGATGTTGAGCCTCTTTGACTGGTCCTCTAAATCTTTTCCTCTATTTTCCTTTTCTTTGTCTTTAATTTCCAATAGCTCTTTTTTCTTTTTTTCAGTTTGAAAGCAGTTACTGATTTATTAACTGACCAGGTTATAAAAATAATCATGGTAGACACCTTAATTCATCCCTCTAATAAGCCTGTTGATCTGGTCTTCCCTGTTGCCAGCATCTCCACCTTCTGTAAAATGGATGGTGGTTTTCTTCAATCCACCTTGTGTTGAAGATAATTTGAAAAGCCACAGGAAGTTATTTGCTTCTTTGAAACGCTTCCCAACAATGTAAATCTCATGAATCAGATCCTCCATGCAGATGATGCCTTATTTACCAAGAGATCTTACAATCAACGTGTCATGTGTCAGGGCAATTCGCTTACTGATTTTACCATAACCACGCTTGTAGATCAGTTCATTCACTGACTTCAGGTTTGGATACCCTGGGGTGCTGTAGAATAAGCACTGGACAGGTTTGGTTTGAACCTCAATGTCAGTGGTTCAAATTCACCAGCCACTCCTCAGAAACCCTATACAGGGTCGATATGACTGAACGGCACATAACAACATGCAATATATGGTTCCGGAATCTTCAGACTGCTAATTGAAACCTTGTTGAGCTAAACAAAGATGCCATTGAAGATCTGGCAAAGGTAAACAAGCTGCAGTACTTTTCGAACCTTTGAGCCCACACCATTGATACCTTTGACCCTGGTCTGAAATGTCAGCTTGGGTTCTCCAGGTCCATAGAAGTTGCCAGTTTTTCTTGCCATCCTGGCTGTTCAAATCTCAGTTCTGTCCATCTGCCTATATTCCTTGTGACAGTGCTTGGCTTTTTCCTCCTTATGTATTGAAGCATCTTTTGAGCAAACTTTTTTCTCAGGCACTTGATCTTTTAGTTCTGCAAAATTCCTTTTGCTTTTTCTTAAGGGTCTCTGGCACAGCAAGAACCTTTGTATTCTCTTCGACACCCTCCATGGTTCCAGCCAGTTAAAATAAAACTTTTTTTTTTTTTTTTTATGACTTTCCATTATCCATAGGAGCTCTGGTAGCGTAGTGGTTACGAATCGGGCTGCGAACCTTAAGGTCAGCGGTTCGAAACTACCAGCCGCTCCGCGGGAGAAAGATGAGGCTTTCTACTCCCGTAAAGATTTACACCCTCGGAAACCCTGTACAGGGTCGCTATGGGTCGGAACCGACTCAACGGCACTTAACAACAACAACAACATCCATTCAACGGCACTTAACAACAACAACAACATCCATTATCCATATATGTCTACTTACTACCTTTGCTGTTGTTGCTTTTTAAGTGTCATTGAATCGTTTGTGATGCATAGTGACCCTGTATAAGGTTGGTTTCTGAGGAGCTGCTGGTGAATTTGAGCATCTACCTTGTACTTAGCCAGTCCAGTGCATATCCTACAGCGCCACACCAGGACTCCTGTTCCTACCCCTGGTATCAGTAAAATATTCTCTTCAACTGTGCCTGTTATCTAGAGATTCTTTGACTCTGTCCAGATAATAATTCAGGTGACTTCTGACCAGGAAAATGAAGAGCAGTCATCTATCTAGCTCTGCAGAGTAAGTATAGGAGCCTGGGGAGCTTGCTTCTTAAATAGACTTTGAATCAAACCTTCTATTTTTTAATTTTTTTAAAAAATATATATTTTATTGTGTTTGTGTGATAGTTTACATGGGGGAACATTCGTTTTACATTCATTCTATCATATATTGTTTCATTGCCATAGTTACCATCCCATCCATGCATCATCACCCAACCAAAGGGTACCTGCCCCCCTCTTCCCCCCCCACAGTCCTCAGCACACAACCTGCAAGCCTGCCCCACCCCCACGGTCCTCAGCACACAGCTCCTTTCCCTCTCTGGATCTCAAGTCCCCAGCCACTCCATCTCTTCATGTCATCCTCTCTGTCTCCATCTCAGGCCTCACTGCTTCTCTGGGTGGGGTCCCGCTCTCCGCTCTTCTCCATTGATGGTCCTAGGGCCCTCCGCTCCTAGACTGAAAGGTTAATAACTCCCCTCCTTGCTATAAAATGTCCACCTTTATATTTCCAGCCCTCACAATCAGTCCTGATAACAATTATTCACTATTGCATCACAAGAGACCCATCTGCATTTTTTTTTCCTCAGCCCTTCCTAGACAAGTTGGGTACTACTCAACTGGAGACTCTACCATCCTCCCGCCCTGTGGCAAACCTTCTATTTTTTTATTTCAACTTTACCAGCAACAACCCCACATATACATATACTCTTTTTTTCTGTCTCTCTCTCTCGCCAGAGATACTTGCTATCACTTATTCCTGAGCCTTTGCTGGGTTCTAAGGTATAAATTGAGTTGCTTCTTAGCTTTTCTTACTAGCACCTTAAGATTCAACTTTTATATGTCTCACTCAGTTACCACTCCCTACTAATTTCCAGTAACATTGTAGTGCTATCTCTTCTCTGGTTCCTTTTCATGCCTTTTTAAAACCCTTTTCCTGTGGTTTTTGTGGGGACTTGCAGGGAGCAAAAGTAAGCATCTGTATTTAATACAGCTTCATTCCCTTGTTAGAGCATAACTTCTTTATAATAAAGGCTCAGCTCAAACTACTTAGAAATCCTTTTGAACTACTGAACATTATTAAACAAGTACATTTTTGCAGGATCATGCACTGGACTGCAAGGTCAGTTTGAACCACAAGGTCAAGGGTTCCAACTGATCAGCCAGTCCTTAGAAACCCTATACAGGGTCACTATGAGTTTGAACCAATTCAACAGCACTTAACAACAATAACACATACAACAGCAAGGAAAGGTCTTTCAAACTTTTTGTAATAGAGTATTAATTATTTGTACACACCTTTATCGGAAACCTAAAAACCGTTTTGTTTTTTTCTATGATTTCTGTCAACCAATAAATACTAGGGTAAGTCAGAACATACTGTCATAAAATCATAGAAATCTTTATCTAACAATAATATCAAAATGTGCGGTTATTGTTTCTCAATATTTCTTCTAACTAGGGCTATTCAAAGGGGCTTCAAAAGTTCATGGAAAAGTGAAATTATATAATAATTGAATTTTTCCATGAACTCTTTGAAGTTGCCTTATATGCTTCTGAAGGTGATGTTTCCATATCTCTAACCCTTCCCCCACAAAATTTTATACTTTTCTATTTACACCACATCAAAAAGCAGTTTGGGCATCCTTGGGGGACTTAAATTATGTTCTTTAAAATGTTCTTTTGAGTTTGGAGAACAAAAAAGTCTGAAGGATCAAGATCAGAGTTGTAGGAAGAATGGAGTAACTTTTCCCAATGAAATTCTAGGACAGCCTTTGCTACCTTCGAAGAGTGAACAAGTGCACTGCCATGGAAAAAAGTTCTTCAGTACAACTTTCTTGTCTTTTTTCTCACCAACAGTTTTCTATTTTCTTAAAACTTCTTCCTAATAAGGCCCCATGTATTCTTCAAGAAAATCTATCAAGATTAAAAATTCCAAACTCATTTCCATCAAGTCAGTTCTGACTAACAGTAACCCTATTTAGGGTTTCCAAGGTTATAAATCTTTACAGGAACAAACAGCCTTATCTTTGTCCCATGGAGTGGCTGGTGAATTTGAACTGCCAAACTTGTGATTAGCAATGTAGTGCGATGCTTTTCCTACAGTGTCACCAGAGCTTCTTCTATCAAGGTTACCCCTTGGAATTCCCAAAAAGCAGTCACCATACCCTACACTGATCTTTCTTGACCTGTCCCAGAATATCCCCTTGGAAGCCACTGTTGATTGGACCTTGCTCTCTGGATCACACTGGTAAATCCAAGACCAGTTCATTCTATAAAAATGTCATTAGCTTCAATCTTGATTAAAAGAATGATGGAAAGGGTACCTCTCTGAGCTAGCTCATCTTTGTACAGGAGTTTGGCACCATGAAGCCAAAAACTTGCTGAGGCCAGAATCTTCACTTAAAATTCAAAATGCCAAATGATGTGAGCCCCCAGCTTCAGTACGTATCAAATTCATGGTAAATCTGTGGTCTTCTTCCATCAGTTTCTGGACTTTGGTCACAGTTTCTTCATTTGTCAAGGTTGACAGTCTTCCCTGCCTTGGCTTATCTTGAGGTTTTCCCAACCTTCCTTAAATCACTTGATCTATCTAAATACTTTTGTGTGGGGTAACATTCCCATAAACATGCTACAAAGTTCAAAGATTTGGGAAGATGTTCACTTCAGTTTTCTTAAAATTTTTATATTAGCCCTGACTTCAAAATTGTTTTTTCATGTGGCACATAAAAACCCTTTTTAAGGAGTCCCGGTGTGGCGCTGTGGACTAATGCATCAGACTGCAAAGTTGTTTGAACTACATGCTCAGTGGTTCAAGCTCACCAGCTGCTCCTTGGAAACCCTATACAGGGTGGCTATGGGTCGGAGTCGACTCGACAGCACTCCACAACAGCAATGAGATTAGGCCAAGTGTACTGAAAGAACTTGTCTATAGCCTTCCAATGATTCCAGACTTGTTTAAACATGTTTTGTTTAACTTGTGTATATATGAACTGGAACCCTAGCAGCGATACTTTTTTACTTAGCCTTATACTTACAGTGAATATGTATTTATCAAACCCTGTTTTAAGTAGAGCAAACCTAAACTGTTATCAGTTCTTGGCATATGGGATCTAAATTAATGAACTTTAACTTAGCATTACGTGGTTTCATTATTTGTCTTTGGCCACGTTTCCTGTGTGGGTAGAAAATAAGCAAATTTAGTAGTATGGTAGCTAACAACTGGTAACTGTCTCATGTCTGTAGCCCAGTCAACACAATACCGTGAAGCTGGGAGCTTTCCAGGCTCAGGAAAAAGAGCTGGTATTTGACATTGATATGACTGACTATGACGATGTGAGAAGGTGTTGTAGGTAAGCACCATGTCCCTTGCTTTTGGGGTGGGTGATATCACTGCCAGTGGATAATGATCATTCTACTCCAGTTCTGCAGACATATGTTCTAAGTGTTGGACCCTAATGACAATGGCCATGCACATCATCGACAGAGCATTGAAGGGTAAGTATCCACACTATTTGAGTGGGGTCGTATACTAGAATCTGTTTTCCTCTGAATACTAGCCTCTCTTTTCCTGTATACCAATTTATAATCCAATTTCATACATTTCTAATATGTTTCTGAAACATATAATAGGGAATTAAAAGAGAAAGTTGTTGAAAAGCCAGTGTGATTTTCTCATTCAATCATTTATTGAGCTAGGTACACAATATTTCTAGGTAAGATTCTAGATGAGAGACTTCACACAGTCTAAGAAGAGAGATTTTAAAAGTTCAGGGTTACAGTTGTGTTAAGTACTATGGGTACTACCAGGATATAGAGTAAGCAGCACAGGAATGAGAAGCGATCAGGTCAGAAAATGCTTCCCTGAGGACGTGATTGTGATGAAGATGATGATTGAAATGATGATCTTAGCTAGTTCATATCAAGGGCTTATATGTGCCAGGCACTACTCTAAGCTATTGAACTATAGCCACTCTTTTACTGTCCCTAGACTGAATCTTTAAGGAGAAATGGCAATTGGTCATGGAGAGAAAAGGAAATATGGAGGCATGAAGAAATTCTTGACAGAATGGATAAAGATAGGAAGACAAATGTGTGAGGGGCATAGGAGACTACAGATCGTTGTGGTTAAAAGGAGAATATACGTTGGGAAATGGTAAAAAATGAAACTAAGGAAATAAGCAAGAACCAAGAATTTGTAGATTTGTTTTAAAACGTATTGTTTCTCTACTCTTCAGAGGACTTTGGATTTCAGCATCGTCTCTGGGTATATTCTGGAAGGAGAGGTGTTCATTGTTGGGTCTGTGATGAATCAGTTAGAAAACTGTCCTCTGCAGTGCGTTCTGGAATAGTTGAGTATTTGAGTCTTGTAAAGGTAAGGTCCTCTTAATAATCATTTACATTTCTTCTGTTTGCCAGATGTTACCAAACTTGGTGTGTTTACTAACAAAACAAATGTTCAAAGCATCAATATTTCAGAGTAGATAGTCTTACTAACAGATCAATTAATATTGTAGCTATGTGTTTTTAGACATTTTATATGTTAAGAATCCTTTGTGGCAAAAGGAAGATTTACTTTTCTGTATTAATTATGTCAAATAAAAACAGAAAGTTACAGGTTTTGAAATTACTCCATTTGTTATACACAAAAAGTTATTTTTTGTTTGTTTATTTGATGGTTTCTTTTTCAGGGTGGTCCAGACATTAAAAAGAAAGTTCATCTCAGTGAAAAAATCCACCCTTTTGTCAGGTCTGTTGGATAAGACTCAGTTTGTGTCAGATTTACCATCATGTGTTTTTAGAATGAGCTTGCTATCAATTTTCATTGCTGGGGTAGCATTTTGCAGTTTAATAATGCTGTTGTTGTAAAGTTCCATCGAGTTGATTCCAACCAATAGCGACCCTGTAAGGGTTTCCGAGGAGCAGCTGGTGAGCTTGAACTGCCAACCATGCAGTTCAAACTTGGCTTTGTAGTCTTGACACATTAACCCACAGCGCCACACCAGGACTCCTGGTTTCATAATAGTTACAGTTAACTGACTGCCTTTATTGTGCTGTATTGTTCATGATGTTGTTGTTTGTAAGTGCCGTTAAGTCATTTCCAACTCATGTTGACCCTTATAGACTTTAAATGAGTGGCTGGTAGGTTTCAACTGCCAATCTTGAGGCTAGCAGTCCACTGCTTATCCTACAATGCCATATGATAGGGGCTATACAAATATTTTCATAGGTCTTCAGACCTGATTGGGAATGTGATAATATCTCCATTTACAGATGAGGGAAATGAGGTTTCAAAGCAATTATATAATTTGACAGCATATGACTGTTACATTCAAGATTCAGTCCTGCTTTGCATTCAATACAAATGTTGTTTCTATTGAATTAATTATTTCTCTAGGATAATGGGAAGATCCTTGAATTAGGAGTAAGAACCACACTTCTATCACTTACTATGGCCTTGAATAAAATATTGGTGCCTCCATTTCCTTCTTTGTATTATGGAGAGCACAATATCTGCTCTACCTGTCTCATAAATTGTGGCAAAGATTAGGTGAAACAGTAGATGTGAAGAATTAAATTTGCAAAGTGCTTTAAACAATTGTTAAGATGTTAAAGCAAGCAATTCAGTATGGAAACTTTAGACTACACCCCACATTCTGCTACTAATGTATAAGGGGCTTCAAAAAGTTAGTGGGAAATAGACCTAAAAAATAATGGAATTTTTCCACAATCTTTTTGCAGCCCCCTCATATTGTATTATCCTGGTTTGGTTGCTTTCTATCCTTATGACATATTTATAATGTGATTAACTTGGTTTGTGGAGTTTAATTAAGAAGTAAACATGTTTTGAATTTTATGAGCCAGGTACTAGCCTCCCACCAAATAGAAACAATGTAGTGTATATGTTGCTAACTGTGTTGGGGCTTTGTTATTGTTGTTCCTACAGAAGATCTATAGACATAATAAAGAAATACTTTGAAGAATATGCCTTAGTAGGTCAAGACATTCTTGAAAATAAAGAAAGCTGGGATAAGATTTTAGCCCTTGTTCCTGAAAATATCCTTCCCACAACCACTTATATGTGAGCTACTGTATGTGTTCTGCCTGTGTATCCTCATGTACTTATCCCGAAACACAGCATCTTTTTTATACACAACATGTTATGTACAAAGGACTTCAGAAAGTTCATGGGATCATTCCATTATCTTTCATTCCAATTTTCCAGGAACTTTTTGAAATCCCCACCTATTTCTGCATTCTTCTTTCTCTAGTATGAAATACAATAAACTGTAAAGCCATTTCATATATAAATTTCCTCATTTTTGAATCTGGTCTTTCTAGCGTTAGTGGCGGTTTAAGAGTTGCTGAATCCTTTAGTCAAAATATGTATGAACCAAGGAAATCTTTTTATATTAAAATTAATTATTTTTGCATTCTTTCTGTCATATTATCACTGTTTTACAAGGGAATTTTTTTATGGCTATAAGTGTTTGGCATTTATGTTTCAGAGAACATTAATAATTACTTTTAAATATTTATAAGCTTTAGATATTCTTGTGGTGATACATTCTGCAAATTAAGTTGTTCACTGATGTGTTCCTTAATGACCCATTACCAATGCATGATAAACTTCAAGAAGGCTTCCAAAAATGTCACAATTCACTTCAGCGGTGGAAATATTTGAAGACAGTAGCCAGTGACTATCAGGTATACACTAATGAAATTTGTATTAAAATATAACAAATTCTTAATTAATTGTTTTGCCCAGTAAGTTAAAGATAGTTGAAGATCATTCTTTAACCTTCCTTAAAGAAATCCTCAATAGTTCCTACTCATCCTCATGTTGGACTTAATACCTGTTTTTAGGGTAACATCAAAAATGACAAATCTGGACAGTGGCTAGAGTGGGAGATCATGCTCCAGTACTGTTTTCCACGACTGGATATCAATGTTAGCAAAGGAATCAATCATTTACTGAAGAGCCCTTTTAGTGTTCATCCTAAAACAGGTACTATATAAAGAAAGTAAGGAAAACAGAAAAATGAAAGTTATTTTTTATTTGAACAAGTAACATTGTGTGTGAATACATATAACCTATGAAATATTAAAGGTTGAAGAATTGCTGTTCACTAATACGTAGTTTTTTAACATGGTAAATTCAATAGCTACATCAGTTGCTGCTGTTCAATATTTTCCAGTTGAGTTTCTGATCCTATTTGATGAATTAGAGTTGGAAAGAATCTTAGAAGTCACAGTATAACAGCTCTCAGTGTACAGATCAGAAAACATCTATAATATTTAGAAATACATTAACCCTTTTACCAGCCATTCTCGGAAATCCCATACAGGGTCACTATGGGTCAGAACTGACTCATGACACTTAACGACAATAGATAAACGTTTTAACTAAAAATAACTTGTAGGATACAAACTATATGATTTGTTTTCCATGATTATCAGTTTATAATTATTGGCTCTTAAAGGTCACTTTTCTGTCCATTAATTTACAGAAAATCGATCACTTTGATCCATTTGCCATTCCAACCATAAGAGATTAAAGTGACTTCTCCATAGTCTATAAAACAAATTGTGTCAGAGCTAGGTACAGAAGTCAGTTCAATAGCTTTAGCTTTACCTTTTTACATTCCTTTTAAACAAGATTTGTTGTTGTTAAGTGCTGTCAAGTCTGTTCCAACTCATTGCAACCCTATAAAGCGTTTCCAGGGAACCGCTGGTGGGTTTGAACTGCCAACCTTTTGGTTCACAGTCCAGTAATGATCTTACAGTGCCACACCAGAAGTTCTAAATAAGATTTGGAGTATGGAAATTGAATTTAAATATGAGAGTAGTTATATTGTCATAAAATTTACTCCATCTAGCTAGGGAACAGAAAAGTGTATAAGTAAACAATCCAACTTTGTCACTTGCTTACCATGGGACCTTAAGCAAATTACTTAGCTTCTCTGTGCCTTAGTTCTTATCTATAAAAGAAATGCAATAGTACCTACCTCAGCATTATTGTAAAGATCAAATGTAAAGACTTAAGAAAAGCGTCAAGCATACATTCAATTCTCTCAAGCTGCCTAGTTCCCTTTAATAAACTAGAATGACCTTGCAGTGCATACATTTCTACAGCTTCTTCAAACCTATCAGCTATGTGTTTTTGGCTTCTTTAAGTAAAAAGTATCTTCTCAGACTCATGATTTAGGTGAATAACTGTCACTCATACGTGCATGCATTTTGATTATATCCCTGTGCAAACAGTAACTCCCAACTCCCTTATTTTACTTGTTTATCACCTGACAGCCTGTAGAATCATTTTTAAGATGTGATGAGTTTTATGTAGTGTACCAGGTGAGGATACTGTAAAAAGGTAGTTTGTCTATTTTATTTCCAAAATGTGTTCTAACAGTGCCCAACATATAGGATGTGTATTGCTCTCAGCAAATAAACCAAGCTCATAGAATTATTTTCCATCTATTTTGTACCATTTCAGGACATAATAAATTTGAGATTGTTCTGAAGGTTAATATGGGAGGATATTAAGATAAGAACTAGAATTAAAGTAATGATAGCAATTACTGGGAAATAGCTCAACAGTGTTTAACACCTGTTTTTTGTTTTATTAAAGTAAAAGGCACAATCAATATGGAAGTGCTTAAACTTATATTTCTAAATATTGCTTTTAATATTTAGAAAAATAAATGTTAATCCTTTTCTAAGCCTTAGATAAAAGTTGTAACTAAGAGTAACTTGTAGGATATGTTGTTGTTAGGTGCCATCGAATCGGTACCGACTCATAGCGACCTTATGCACAGCAGAACAAAACACTGCCCGATCCTTTGCCAACCTCACTATTGTTGCCACGCTTGAGCCCACTGATGCTGCCACTTGGCCAATCCATCTCGCTGGGGGTCTTCCTCTTTTTCTCTGACCCTCCACCTTACCAAACATGATATCCTTCTCCAGCGACTGATTTGTTTTCCACGATTATCAGTTTATAACTTTGGTTGTTACAGGTCGCATCTCTGTCCCTATTGATGTGCAGAAAGTAGATCACTTTGATCCATTTGCCGTTCCAACCATAAGGTACAATCCAAATCATTGATCATTCCTTATTTGAGTTTGTTTGTGATTGTTACTCTGAATTTGAAGTAGATTTGATTAGATTCTTCCCAGAGAGATAGTGGTGGTGGTGTGCCATGGAGTCGGTTCCGGCTCACAGCGACCCTGCACAGGGTTTCCGAGGCTGTAAATCTTTAAGGGAGCAGAAAGCCTCATCTTTCTCCTGCGGAACCACTGGTAGTTTCGAACTGCTGACCATGAGGTTAGCAGCCCAATTCGTAACCACTACGCTTCCAGAGCTCCTTTCCCAAAGAGATAGCTATATGGAAATAATATATTTGGTTACAGAAGACCCTAGTAAAGCAACATGATCCACAAGACTGTTAAGTTTTCACCTGCTCTTAAGCAAGAAAAAAGGCTTTCAAGTCAATTAACTTTAGGAACTGCTGACTTAAAAGTTTCATTAATGCAAGATTATCTTAGTTTTTAATGTGCCAATATGCATGAACTCCAAGATGGGATTATAGTTTTTAGACAATTCCAAATATATTTGACCATAAATGTTTTTGCAGAAATCTTGTATTCATGTGCTGTCATATATTGGGTAGTATTAATAACCCACTTTAAGTTCTTCTTATTCTGTTCTTTATAGTTCCATCTGCCATGAATTGGATATCATTTCCACTAATGAAGAAGAAAATGAAGCTGAATCTAATGTCAAACATAGAACCAGAGGTGGGTTAATATTTGTGTAAAGTCTCAATTTAATGCAAGGTTTTTATATAGACATCCTTCTGTCACTCTAGTAATTAACTTATTCCCCTTGGGTTCAGCCCAGAATGTGTCCCTATAGATCCTGAAATGAACTCTGTAACAAATAATGTTATAGTAGTGTTTCTGTCCTTTATTGCTTGCCCCAAGAGCTGCTACAGAAGTCGATCTGACTCAACAAAACAGCTTACTGAGCAACTTCTAAATGCTGGAGAGTGCTGGTGGCACTTTAGGATAAAGTTGTTGCTGTTGTTATGTGCCATGGAGTCGATTCCGACTCAGCGACCCTGTACAGGGTTTCTGAGGCTGTAAATCTTTACGGGAGCAGAAAGCCTCATCTTTCTCCCGCCGAACAGCTGGTAGTTTCGAACTGCTAACCTTGAGGTTCACAGCCTGATTTGTAACCACTATGCTACCAGAGCTCCTTTATAATTACTAAACTGCTAATCACAAGGTCAGCAGTTCAAACCCATCAGCTCCTCCACAGGAGAAAGGTGAGGCTTTCTGGTCCCATACAGATTTATAGCCTCAAAACCCCTTTACAGGGTTGCTGTGAATTGGAAACAACTTGGCAGCGCGTAGCAACAACATCTTAAAATAAAATTGGTGTTTGAATTACAATCTCTTGGATTCAGTGACTAATAGTTGCTAGGTTTGCAACTTTATTTTCATGTATAAAGATGGGTTTTATGGTAAACAGGTGTAATCTGTAATTGAATACTATATTCAAGAATTTGAAGAACCTGGAAAATGTATAAATCTTCCTGCTAATAAAAGTAAAATCTTATACTAACACTAAACAGACATTCAGATAGCAAAAGTCCAAATGACTTTCTATAATGATTGTTGTTGTTAAGTGCCTTCGAGTAGGGGCCTGACTCACAGCAACCCTGTATAGGGTTTCGAGGAACAGCTGGTGATTCACAGTCCAATGCTGATCCTACAGCACCACATCATGAGTCTTTCTGTAATGAAATGCTATATATCTGAACTATGCAATGTGATAGTTACTAGCCATGTTTGGCTTTTGAGCACTTAAATGTGGTTTGTATAACTTAGAAACTGATTTTTATTTCATTTTGTTTTAAATAGGCATATGTGACTAGTGATTACAGTGCAGATCTGTGGGCTCTGCTTCATCTTTTATGAACAGTTGTTCCTATTATTCTTTCAAAATCTTAAGCTCAAATCTTGCTTTAAGCTATGCCATTTCTAACAATACCTAAATGTAATACATTCCACTATGAATGTTTGTGAAACAACTATTCTATTTTTTTAATTTGAAAAAAGATAATCAAAGATACAAAATAAACCAGAAAAAGGAAATCAGAGAAAATTTACAATGCAAGAAACAAAAGAAATGTGTGGTGTGTTTTTTTAATATTATAATGTACCCACCACTTGTCAGTTTGTCATAATGTTGTGGCTTGTGTGTTTCTGTGATGCAAAAGCTAATGCCACCAGTATTTTAAGTATCAGTAGGATCACCCATGGAGGATAGGCTTAAGAGTTTCCAGCCTAAAACAGACTAGGAAGAAGGAGAGGCAGGCCACTTCTGAATATTTAGCCGATGAAAACCTTATGAATAACAGCAGAACATTGTCTGATATAGTGTCATAAGCTAAGCCCCTCAGGTTGGAAGGCACTTAAAATATGACAGGAGAAGAGCTGCCTCTTTAAAGTAAAGTTGACATTAATGACATGGATGGAGTAAAGCTTTTGGGACCTTCATTTGTTGATGGTGCACAACTCAAAATGAGAAGGAACAGCTGCAAACATCCATTAATAACTGGAATGTGGAATGTACAAAGTATGAATGTAGGAAAATTGGAAGTCATCAAATATGAAAAGTATGAAGATCTATATCCTGAATTGAAATGGACAGGTACTGGCCATTTTGAATCAGACAATCATGGTTTACTATGCTGGGAATTACAAATTGAAAAGGTATGGATGGTGTCACACTCATCATCAAAATCTATCTTGAAGTAAAATATTATCTATGATACAATAATGACCACATGCCTATAAGGAAGACCAGTTAATACCACAATTAATTCAAATTTACACATCAACCACTAAAGCCAATGATGATGAAATTGAAGAATTCTACCAACTTATTCAGTCTGAAGGTAATCAAACATGCAATCAAGATGCATTGTTCATTACTGGTGATTGGAATGGCAAAGTTGGAAGTAAAGAGGAAGGATCAGTAAAAATTCAAGTGATAGAAATGATGCTGAAGATTGCATAATAGAATTTTGCAAGACCAATGACTTAATTCATTGCAAATACCTTTTTTCAATAACACAAATAACGACTATACACTTGAACCTTAACAGATGGAATCAAATTGACTACATATGTGGGAAGAGACAATTATGGCTTAATAACACAGCCAAAACAAGACCATTGATTATGTATCAATTACTCACATATAAGTTCAGGTTGAAGCTGAAGAAAATTAAAACAAATTCATGAGAGACAAAATATGACCCTGAGTATATCCCACCTTAATTAGAGACCATCTCTAATAGATTTGATGCATTAGACACTAATTACCAAAGACCAGAGGAGTTGTGGGATACATCAAGAACATCATACATGAAGAAGGCAAAAAGTCATTAGAAAACAGGAAAGGGAAAAAAAGACCAAAATGGATGTCAGAAGAGGCTCTGAAACTTGCTCCTGAGCACAGAGAAGCTAAAGTGACTGGAAGAAATGAGGACATAAAAGAGCTGAACAGAAAATTTCAACAGACAGCTCAAGAAAACAAAGTATTTTAATGAAATGTACAATGAACTGGATTTAGAAAACCAAAAGAGAAGAACACACTCAGCATTTCTCAAGCTGAAAGAACTAGAAAAAAATTCAACTCAGGTTATGATACTGAAGGATTCAATGGGCAAAATATTGAATGACATAAGAAGTATCAAAAGAAAGATGGAATATTAAGGAATACACAGAGTCACTATACCAAAAAGAAGTGACCAATGTTCAACCAGTTCAAGAGGTACATGCAATCAAGAACTAATGGTACTGAAGGAAGAAGTCCAAGCTACATTGAAGACATTTGCAAAAAACAAATCTACAGAAGTAATGAAAGACAAATTGAAATATTTCAGCAAACTGATGCAGCGTTGGAAGTGCTCACATGTCTATGCCAAGAAATTTGGAAGACAGCCTCATGGCCAACCTACAGAAAGAGATCCATATTTGTACGCATTTCAAAGAAAGGTGACACAATGATATGTGGAAATCATAAAATAATTTCATTAATATCACATGCAGTAAAATTTTTCTGAAGACATTTCCAAACCAGCTTCACCAGCATATGCACAGAGAGCTGCCAGAAATTCAAACCAGATTCAGAAGAGGACATGGAATGACAGATATAATTGCTAACATCAAATGAATCTTGGCTGAAAGCAGAGAATACCATAAAGATGTTTACATGTGCTTTATTAACAAAAGCTTTCAACTGTGTGGATCATGACAAACTATGGATAACATTGCAAACAATAGGTATCCCAAAACACTTAATTGTGCTCATAAGGAACCTGTAAATAGACCAAAAGGAAGTTATACAAACAGAACAAGGAGATATTGTTGTTGTTAAGTGCCGTCTAGTCAATTCTGACCCATAGCAACCCTATGTAGAGTTTCCAAGGAGCAGCTGGTGAGCTTGAACCACCGACCTTGCAGTTCAAACGACTTTGCAGTCTAACAAAGCCACACTAGGACTCTAAGGGGATAATATATGGTTTAAAATCACAAAAGGTGTGTGCCAGGGTTGTATCCTTTACCATACTTATTCAATCTGTATGCTGAGCAAATAGAGAAAAGCTGGAGTAGATGAAGAAATTGGCATCAATATTGGAGGAAGACTCATTAAAAACCTGCGATATGCAGATAACACAACTTAGCTTGCTGGAAGTGAAGAGGACTTGAAATTCTTGTTTGAACATCAAAGTCTATGGCCTTCAGTATGGATTGCACCTCAATGAAAAGAAAACAAAAATCCTCACAAATGCAGCAATAAATAACATCATAAGTGGAGAAAGGATTGAAGTTGTCAGACTTCCTTTTGCTTAGATTCACTATCAACACTCATGGAAGCAGTAGTAAAGAAATCAAACAACATATTACATTAGGCAAATCCGCTGCACAAGACCTCTTTCAAGTATAAAATAGCAAAGATATCAGTTTGAGGACTAAGGTCCTCAAAAATACCATTTTAAGATCTAAGCCATGATATTTTCAGTCACTTCATATGTATGTGAATGTTGGACAATGAATAAGAAAGACTGTAGAATAGTCAATACATTTGAATTATAGTGTTGGTGAAGAATATTGAAAGTACCATGAACTGCCAAAAGAACAAACAAATCTGTCTTCCAAAAAATACAGCCAGAATGCTCTTTAGAAATATGGTTGATACTTCCTTTCTTGTACTTTGGACATGCTATCAGTAAGAACCAGTTCCTGGAGAAGAACATCATGCTTGGTGAAGTGGAGGATCATTGAAAAAGTTGGACTGACACAGTGGCAACAATGGACTCAAACCTAACACCAACTGTGAAGATGGTGTAGGACAGGGCATTGTTTTGTGCTGTTGTATAGAGGGCCACTATGAGTCGGAACTGACTGAACAGTACCTTCTAGGAACAACAACAACATAATAGCTTCAGAGAACGATGAGACATTAAAGCTGAAGTTTCTCTTTTATTTCTTTTGAAATCATCTAAGTGTGAAAAGTGGTAATTCCTTTGGTGGAAAGTGGAAAGTTTTTAAGTATGTATGGAACAACTTGCTTATGTGAACTTACTTTTTTTTTTTTAATCTAAATGTAGATCAAATGTTTCTAATGACAATTCAACATCTGAATGAGAAGAGTGAACTTTAATCACCAAACATACACCAAAGATTCCAAAAATTTCGTATGAAAAGAAGATGTAAAATAGCTCAATTTTTTTACATGTTGAAGTGATAATATGTTAGATAATTTGAGTCAAATAAAATATTTTACTAAAATTAATTTTCCCTACTTTTTATCTTTCTTAGTATGCCTATTAAGAATATGGACTTCTGGTATGGTACTATGGGTTTTTGCACTAGACTGCAAAGTCAGTTTGAACCACAAGGTTGGTGTTTCACGCTCATCAGTTAGTCCTTGGAAGCCCTATACAGGGTCACTATGAGTCAGAACTGACTCAACGGCACTTAACAACATTAATATACTACATATATTTCTCAGCTATTTGTATTAAGCACACTGTTCTTGAGAATTTTTACATGAAATATAAAGTTGTATTTGCATGTTATTCTTACTGCTTAAATGTTAACAATTATGCATGTTCTTCATAACTTAGATTATAAGAAGACCAGTCTAGCTCCTTATGTGAAAGTTTTTGAGCAGTTTCTTGAAAACCTGACTAAATCTCGAAAAGGAGAACTTATCAAGAAGAGTGGTAAGACTCTGGCCTTTCCCTTTTATCTAGTTGGCTTTTAGTAGTCATTTAAAGCATCCAGTAAGTAAGCAATTTTAGAGCTCTAGACTTTGCTTGTCTCCCCAAAATTTACTGATTTTGGTGCTGTAGGATCAGCACTGGACTATGAACCACAAGGTTGGCAGTTCAAACCCACCAGCCGCTCCTTGGAAACTACACAGGGTTGCTGAGTTGGAACCAACTCAACGTACTTAACAACAGTCTGCTTGCCAAAAAAAAAATTTACTGATTTTTCTTACTACCCTTAGTGGTTTTAAAATTTGAGATCCCTTAGCTCAGTTCAACACATGTTTTATTCTGTACTTTTTATGTATCAGATAATATAAGTGGTGGTCAGTTTGAACCCAATATAAAGGATAGAAATAGACATGAATTATACAAAGATTAATTACACACCATGCCATAAAAAGTTACTATCCTTACTAATGTGGTGCAAAATAAAGTACAAAATGTTAAGAAAAAGATTGATCTGAGAAGACAATATGAAACAAATGATATTTAAACACCTTTCAATGAACTGAGTAGAATTTCTTCAAGCAGAAATGGAATAATGGTTCCGGAATGGAAAAGAAGATGTTCATTCTAGAGGGAATAGCAGGAATAAGGACATAGAGGCAGAAAAGAATTGGGTCTCTCGGGAGGCCATTAAATACCACAGAAATATGTCAGGAAGTGATTGCATATAAATCTGGAGAAGCAAGGTGAAGCCAGAGTATCTATGGCCTTGAATTTCAGGCTTAGGATTCAGACTTAATTCGATAGAAACAGAGAAGCCATTGAAGAAAGGAGTACCAGGATTATGTCTTCACTCTAGAAAGATAGCCCTGGAAATCCTAGATCTGGGGATAGGCAGGGACTAGAACAGAACCTAAGAGGCCAGTTGGGCTGTCTTCATTAAGATAAAAGTAGCATTGGAAATCTCTAAAATATAAAAATTATTTGTAAGAGGACTGATTTTAAAAAGGAAGGGAAGGTCCCACATAAACCTGGATCAAGGGAGCTTCAAAGGTTATCAAGTGCCAGATGAATTAGTGAACTGATATAATTCTGTTGTATACTGTAACAAGAAGAAAGAAATCGGATAGCAGGATCAAAGGAAAAGTTCTATGAATATGAGAGACTTGCGTATAAGTGTAAGCCAAAAGGGGAAAACATCAGCCAAGTACTATTCAAGAGGTTGATGGATACCATAGAAAACTGGCAATGTTATAAAAATACAAATACCCACTCTACTTCATTTTTAATTAAGTGTGGGATGGTTTAAGAGTAATGCCTAAAATAACACTCCACTCATATTAACACTCAAATATAAGGGGGCTTCCTAAAGTTCATGGAAAAATGCCATTCTCTTTCCATCCATTTCTCCATGAACTTTTTGAAGCCTACTTGTATTGAGTGTGTCTCTGAGTGACAAATAGTTAAGCACTCAACAACTGACTGGAAGGTGCTCAGTTTGAACCCATCCAGAGGCACCTCAGAAGCAAGGCCTGGCAATCTGCTTCTCCATGAAAATCCTATGGCACACAATTCTACTCTGCAACACGTGAGGCTGCCATGAGTTGGAATCACCTCAGTGATAGCTGTTATGTGCTTACTAAATGAGTAATGATGACAACTCAGAAAGCCTCATTGAAACTCACTCCATCTCAAAGTATTAAGTTTTATATTCTCAGTGTTCTATACTAGCTCAATTTATAGCTTAAGCAAATCTGTATGCATGGAAGCATTAAGCAAATCAGAATGTTAAAATAAATCTTTGTTTTGTTTTCCTTTACTATCCTTTAATAAAAATCTGTTCTATTTTAGATTTACAGAAAGATTTCTGAAGATAACGTCCCTTAAACCAATGCAGACATCTTCTACCTTCATCCAAGAGTCAAATACTTCAAGAACCATTTAACAAATAAATGGCAGAACCATGTGTGCATCTTAATGCTCCAAGTAAAATTTCTTCTGAGAAATAACTGTGTTGAAACGAGTGTCAAGGTTCCTGAAACAAGAGTGAAAAAGAAGAAGAAGCGATGGTTAGATTTCAGATAAGATTTGTAAGACTTTAGTATTATACAAAGATAATTCTAAGATTTCTGATATAACTACTCAGTTCTACCAGTTACCACATATAGCAGTAAGTGAGTAATAATATGTCCAAGACTTTACTCTCAGCTCATAGACTACAGATATCTGGGCAAGTGATGTCTCTGTTCTTTAATCTCAAGCACTTCAGTTAACTATACCTGGTATGAATAATCAATCACTTCTAATTTTGTTTGCTGATATTATTACTGGCCTGACCATACCCCACTGATCTTTTTTTTTTTTATAATTTTAAACAGCATTTAAACCAGAACTTCAGTTCAAAAATATCAGTAACTACATTACCAATATGAGGGTCACGTATTGTGTTCTTTACAACTATTGGCAATTGTAGCTACTAACTTCTTCCCTCAGAAAGCAATTGGATTAGTCTACTGTAAAGCAGCAGCTTAGAAAAAAATCAACTTCACCAATATAAAACCAGTTATATTTCTCAAAGCCCTTAAGTGTTTTTATGTATCTATATTTATAATAGATTTCATTTCTTCCATGTTTAGTTTTCTGTAACAAGAGTTTAAAGTGTCAGATTTCTTTTGCCTGGTTTTATAACCAATCTAAACAAAACAGTCATGCTGATTTACATGCATTTTCTAATTAAGAAAAGCAAGCCATCAAGTCAGTGTTTTCCTGTGACTTGGGAAAATATTCTTTCCTTTACATTTCTTTTAACATGATTTCTTCAATAGTCTTAACAATCTTTTTTTTTCTTTTATATTTTGGCTTATATAAAACAGACTCCTTTAAACAGACTGTATTAAATAGTCAATGCTGAATGCCTTGCATTTATTTCTCTTGTAGTTTTTTTTTAATGAAAAACATTAAAGGCTTTTGTTCAAAACTCTTGAGTATTGAGATACTGTTATTATGTATTGTTCAGTCTTCAGGTTCTAAAACAGTGGGTCAATTAGGATTCCTGAATGCAGGCAATTACTAAAGACTTACTAGTACATTTTAAAAGAACTCAGAATAGACTGGAAAGACTGGTGTTATACTTTCAACAAGAGACGCTGTAAGCTTCCATTACAGTTTTGTAACTATGTCATGAAAGTATTCTAATGCTTTGAAATTAAAGCCCTTAGATTAAAGGTGGTGTACTCATCCATAAAATTAACTACAGAAACATTGTGTTCATAAAAAAGAATGTTTGGTTCTTGAAGAAAGCAGAAACATGCTCAAAGACTAGATTTCCCTTTTCCAATTTGCCAGTCCACTAATAACAGTAGTCCAATTGTAGAAGCACAGAAATGGCTTCCATCTCCAAATCTGCCCAATTTATAACAAAGCCCAAAGAAAAAGTAAATACATTCTTCCTTTGTTAGACATTACAACGAGAGGTTAACAAAAAAGTCATGGAAAATAATGGGAAGAGAAAGGGAATGATCAAAATGCAGTATTACAGGTGTATCTCAGAGATATTGTGGGTTCAGTTCCAAGCCACTGCAATGAAGCATCACAATAAAGCAAGTTAAATGTGACTCTTTATTTCCCAGTGCATATAAATGTTACGTTTATACCGTACTGTAGTCTATCAAGTGCTCAACAGCATGAAAAAGTTTGAAGTGTGAGAATCAGACACAGTGAGCAAATACTGCTGGAAAAACGACTTGCTCCAACACAGGTTTGTCACAAACCTTCAATGTGGAAAAATGCAGTATCTGTTACATGCAATAAAGCAAAGCCCACTAAAATGAGCTATTCCTGTATTTGTGTAAGGAGATGGTTAACTATTTCTGGCCCTTCTGAAGGTAAACCATATTGGAAATCTTCCAGATCACTTATTTACCTATGTAGAAATAAATTCTATCTACAATTTTAATTGTAATAAACACTTTCCAAGTGTTATAGTGTCTTGTTGTTAAGTGCCGTCGAGTCGGTTCTGACCCATAGCGACCCTGAACAGGGTTTCCGAGGCTGTAAATCTTTACGGGAGCAGAAAGCCTCATCTTTCTCCCACAGAGCAGCTGGTAGTTTCGAACTACTTACCTTGCGGTTCACAGCCCGACTGGTAACCACTACACTACCAGATCTTGTTATAATGTCTATTTAATCTTAAAAAAAAAATTCTATGAAGTAGCTATTGTCCCCATTTTATAGATAACACAGGCACAAATTGGCTAATTAAATTGTCTAAAGACACAAATGGACTCCCGGTGTGGCACTGTAGGACCAGCACTGAACTGTAAACCACAATGTCAGCAGTTCAAACCCATCAGCTGCTCCTCAAAAACCCTATACAGAATGTGGGGAACCTTTTTTCTGCCTAAAGTTGTATAATGTATGGACCATACAAAGGAGCTCTGGTAGCGTAGTGGTTACGAATCGGGCTGCTAACCTCAAGGTGGCAGTTCGAAACTACCAGCCATTCCACAGGAGAAAGATGAGGCTTTCTGCTCCCATAAAGATTTATGGCCTCGGAAACCCTGTACAGGGTCACTATGAGTTGGAACCAACTCCATGGTACTTAACAACAACATGGGCCATATGAAATTATCAACCTAAAAATTAGGCTGCTATATTTGGTCAAACAACTGTTGTTGTGAAGTGCCATCAAATCGGTTCTAACCCATAGCGACCCTATATAGAGTTTCCAAGGAGAGACTGGTGAGCTTGAACTGCCAACCTTATGGTTCAAAGCAACTTTGCAGTCCATTGCATTGACCCACAGCTCCACACCAGGACTCCAAACTCACCTTAATGTGAGTGGCACTATAGGATAAGCAATGAACCTCAGGTTAGTTTGAACCAAAAGGCCAGCAATTCAAATCCAGAGGTTGTTCCCCAGACACCCTATATAGGGTTGCTATGAGTTAGAACCAACTCCATAGCACTTAACAATGAGACAGCTGGAACTGTTGCCTTGGCAGAGCCAAACCAAATTAATTCAAGGGCCAAATTAACCCACTTATACTGGACCACTATGAGTTGGAACCAACTCAACAGCACTTAACAACAACAATGTGAAGAGAAAAGAGCCCTAGTGGCACTGTAAAAGCACTGGACTGCTAACTGCAAGGTTAGCAGTTCAAACCTACCAGCTGTTTCTATAGGAAGAAAGTCTCAAAATCTTTCTCTTTTGAAGATTTGTTGCTAAATTCTGATTCACAGAGACCCTGTATAGGGTTTCCAAGAAGCTTCAGAAGAGCAACTGTGAGCTTGAACCGTCAACCTTGCAGTTCAAATGACCTTGCAGTCCAGTATATTAACCCAGAGCACCACACCAGGATTTACAGCCTTAGACACCCTAAACAGGGTCACTATGAGTCAGAATCAACTTGATGACATGCGTTTGGATAGAAAGCCCTAGTGGCATAAGTAGTTAAGCAATCAGCTGTTACTAGAAGTCAGCAGTTCAAACCAACCCAATGGATCCAAGGAAGAAAGACTTGGTGATCTACTTCCATAGTTAGAGCCAAGAAAACCCTATGGGGCAATTCTGTCACACAGGTTACTATAAACTGAAATTAATGACTGCACCAAATAGGAAGAGAATATCAGAATTTTCCGTTCCTGATCAACTCCATTATCGCTTAATTCTAGTTCAATCATCTTTAATCCTCACTTCACTATAGTAAAATTCTCACATTTTCAAATAGTTTTCAGAGCATTGCAAATTTTCACTGCTCTTAAAAGGCAGCCGCAAACAATCATTTCAGACCATTACATTAAATAGCTTTAGCTGTAAGGAGCCCCGGTGGCGCTGTGGGTTAGGAGTTAGGCTGCAAAATTTCAGCTGGTTTGGTAATCAAGATCCAATTTGTGTGTCCTTTTGTAGGACTAAGAAAAAAGGTACGGGAGTCAGCGCCTTTTCATTAATAATAATTGTTTTTTACACTCTACAAGAATCCTACTGAATAACGCGTGGATTCTTTAAATAGTCCTGAACCCTACAATGAATGTTTGTTGTTAAGTGCCGTCGAGTCGGTTCCGACCCATAGCGACCCTGTATAGGGTTTCCAAGGAGCACCTGGTGCGCTTGAACCACGGACCTTGTAGTTCAAACGCTCTGCAGCCTGACCCATTAGCCAATAACATCACACCAGGACTCCATAACCAATATTAAGTGCCCTCAAACCGATTTGGAATCGGTGACCCTGTTTAGCAGTCTAATGCTTATCGTACAGCGCCACACCAACTCCCAATATGACAAAAAGAAATTATGTATGCGCTTATGTCCTTTATTCTGGGAAGGGGGACCTACTTTTATCCGTTGGAGAACTGCCTGTACAAACTTGAGTGTATCAAATTGTAGTTGGCAATTTACGAATCGGCTGATTTCACTTTTCTTGTTAGTTGCGGTCCTCCCAGAAAATGCGTGTTAACATTGACCTAAATTGTGTGTTTCAGAAATAAAATTGGAGGTTAATCTAGGCCACTCAATAACCTGAAATGTGGCATTCGATATTCTTTAACGTCTCAATTCTCGTTATTTGAGAAAAGATAATCGGAAAGTCGTTTTAACGCTGTTGTGGCTACTTTGCCGACCGGAGACGTTACTTCTCATCACGGTTTACCTTCAAGTCTCGGCAGTGCCCCGACTTAGAAGGGCGGAAAGAACTGCTTGGCCAGCGCGTCCTGTTTAGTGAATTCTTACCCATATTTAGACCTCGCCACCACTCCCGCTCTGGGAACCAGCCCGACGGGTCACTGAAAGGAAGTGACTGCCGCAGTGACCGACCCGGAATCGGATCCTGATCCCGCCCCCTCGGCTCCAGGCTTCCTTCTGCAACAGGCGTGGGTCACGCTCTCACTCACTCTCTTTCTGCCGCCATCTTGGTTCCGCGTTCCCTGCACAGTAAGTGCTGTTTGCGCCACTACTCTCTATCCACAGCCATCCGCCTTCTTTGAGGGCTGAGCCACCCTGATTACTGAGTTAAGGAGAGTTGGAAACCTTATGGGACCGCAGGATCCCTACTCGGCCATGGGAAGTGTGGCCTTGAGGCCTCCGGACAAAATGGGGTCTGTGGTTGGTGCCTTGGCAAAACACGGCAAAGGAGCTGGGGAGGAGAGGATAGGGGTCCGGAGTCCAGGGATGGACAAGTGGTCGCTGTGGCGATGTTGAGGGCGGATACGGAGTGCTTTTGCTGTTGAGAACGGCGTCTAGAATCCGGAGGAGGTTAAGGGGACAAGGCCTTGGAACACCCACCTTCTCACCCCCATCTCGTTCTTATTGTGACAGACGAGTGTCGGGACTAAAGACATGCTCTTTACATTTCTGGCCCCTGAAAATCGGGTAAACGAGAATCCTGGAGGCGGCCCCAGTCCCGGCAGCGAGTGGAAGAAAAGGATGGGATTCAAGGGTAGCGTCAGAAGTCGCCCTTGTTGGGAGCCAGACGGGAATTCTCGCCCTAGGGTTGGGAACGCAGTGGGGATTGCTGGCTTTGTGGGATTTTGAGCGTGGAATAGAACAAGCCTGGGTACTGGAAGGTCTGCTCTCTGCCGAGTGAAGAGGCGTGGTAAGAAGGTGCTTAGTTGGATCAGCAATCTGAGGGTCGCTTCCTGTCCCACTCATTCCCCACTATTTTGGGGAGGATAGTCTCCCTGCACCTAAATAATTTTCTTAACAGTCCGACGGTGCTTAGGAATACTTGGCTCTGGATTGTGCAGGAGAGTGGATTCCAGTCAACTCAAGCCTCCTTTTTATTCCCTTCCTTCAGAAATGCCCGGTGAAGCCACAGAAACCGTCCCTGCTACAGAGCAGGAGTTGCCACAGCCCCAGGCTGAGACGGGTAGGTTTCCCGAGCCCCCTTACCGTTCATTAAGATTGACCCTAAGGCTATTTGGTGGGTAAAGTGACAAAGAATAAATAATTCTCCTGCCTTTCAGAAAGTTAACGCTCTATAAGGAAGATGGTGCTGTAGCTTGACCAAGAAGGGAAGACCGTAAAATTCACTGCTGTCTTTCATTAGAGGAATGGAGTGAAAATAGGATCTTTGGGGCTTGTGGATATTTATTAAAAGTGCCCTAGCCTGCATTGTGGTGTGTGCCAACTGCCTCAAAAGGATCTGTGCTGTGTAGAATTCCCACCACATAGGAAAACAGCAAGGAAGGGGTCTGTCTCAGTGATTCTTACCAACTGGAACTGGATGACAAACAAACCAAGGAGACCTGAGCTTTTGTGAAGTTCCAGCCAGCAAGTTGCATCAAGGTTTTAGATAGCAGAGCTTGGCCTTATGCCTTCATCACATGTCTGGATGAGATGAGTACTAGTGGCAAATGTGTCCTGGGCCTCCTAGGTTGATTAACTTGTTCTGTGGGTTGGTATTGAGATGTTTCTTGTGTTCTGGAATAGTGTCTGCATCAGAAGCTTGTCTGGAACCCAGAATTGAAAGAAAGCCTCCCTTGGGCTGCTTTTCAACTTTGAAATTAATGGTGTGCAGGGTAATGTAAAGGCAAGTGTTGAATTATGGTGAAAACAGCTCTTGAAAACTTGGTAGTGAAAAACCCAAAAGTGGTTGCTCTCCTTTGCTGAGCTAATTGTGCGGAATTAAGCAAAGGGAATCCTCAGGCTGTAGCTTCCATCCTCTCTGGGGGGTTTGGTTTCCAAAAAAAACTTCACTTCTCACTTAAGGGCAATTTCTGTCCCCTTTTGGAGTTAAAATGTAGAGCTGTTTATTGTAGAACACGTTAAAAAAAAAAAAAAGTTCTCTCTTCCCACCTGTTTGATTTTTGCAGCTGAAGGGATTAATGCAGCTGCTTTAAAAGGAGAGGGCCCTAAACTGGGGAGTGAACTACATGAAGTCTTTAAATGACTAAGGACTTAATGGGATCAAATAAAGAACTGATTTCTAAATGTCCAAGAGACCTGTATCATTGAACAACTTAATTTTACAAGGAAGGAAACTGAAATTTAGATAAATTTAATCGGTTTCAAGCTTCAAAACTAATACCATTTACTTTTGAAGCAATCTTTAGGCAGTGTTAAACTTGTTCCTGCATAGTCTGAGTTATAGTTAGGCAACAACGTTGAATCAATTCTGACTCATAGCAACCATGTATAGTGTTTCTGAGGAGTGGTTGTTGGGTGTGAATTGCTGGCCTTGTGCTTAGCAGTCACGTGCTTATCCTACAGTGCCTATAGTCTGTGTTGTTGATGCTAAGTGCCATCAGGTTGGTTCCAACTCTTAGCAACCCTGTATAGGGTTTCCGAGGAGCGGCTGGTGAGTTTGAACCACTGGCCTTGCGATCTAGTGCTTATCCTGCAGTACCACAGAATGACTCCCAGCAGTCTGAGTAGGTATATAATATTAAAGAGAGCACTGATAAAACACTCAGGATTTTGTCTACAAATTTCATCAATCAAAATAAATGACCAAAGTAGCTCAGGAAATTAGTTAAGATATCAAAAGACACCAATTTGGGTCCTGGGGGAGCAGGGGATTCAACTTGTTTGAAAGCTTTCACTGTAATTATAAGGCATTGGCCCTATAAATTCTCCCAAGAAAAACTGATTGAGCCACCTGTATGTTTGTAGGTTACTATGGTAGGAGTCCTGATGTGGCACTGTAGGATAAGCACTAGGCTGCTAACTAACTGCCAGGTCAGCCATTCAGACCCACCAGTCACTCCTCAGAAACCCTATACAAGGTGCTATAAGAACTTGTGAATTGGGGATTTGGATGCTGTGGTGGTGGTGTGCTGTCAGTCCGTTCCAACAGCTCATAGCGACCCTGTATAGGATTTCCAAGACTGTAAGTCGATTTTTACAGGAGCAGGATGCTGTATGTGTGTTGTTTTGTTTTTGTTTTTGTTTTTTGTCATTTGACACACTATTCAAGGGGTTGGTCTAATCCTGTGTTACCTCCTGAAAAGCTTTACACCAGTACCTAATAATTGGTCTGTTTTAGCATAATTAAATAGTTAACGCAGATTGAGGGAAGACCTTGCTGATTTTTCTGTTTTTCTACAAAATAGAATCACAGTCCGGTTTGACAAGTTGGGTTACAGTTTCACAATATAGTCCCTACCCTTGTGGCTAAGCTATCTCTCTGAAGGTCTAATTCGTCTTTGGATTGGTGTCTGAAAAGCTAGTATGACCTAGAAAGGTCTATAGAAATTATGAAATAGACTGCAGATCTCAAGGTAGTTCAAACGCACCAGCAGCTCCTCAGGAGAAAGGTTAGGCTCTCTGCTCCTATAAAGAATTACTGCCTCAGAAACCCTATGCAGGTCACTATGAGTCAGAACCCACTTTTGAAGGCACTGAGTTTGGTTGGGGGGGGGGGGGTTGCAGTGTTTAGCCATTTGTGTAAAGAGTCTTCCTGGTGCAGTGATTGAAAATGTTTGGCTGCTAACCAAAAGGTTGGCATTTTGAACCCACCAGCTAGTGTAGGAAAAAGTTGTTTTCTGTGAGGATTTACAGCCTTGGAACCTCTGTAGGGCAGAACTTCTTTGTTCAATAAGATTTTTGTTGTTGCTGACCCGTTTGTAGTTTTTTTGGTGCATAAACCGAGGCATGGAGAGGTTAAGTGACTAGAATATTTTAGTGGTTAGCATTAAATTGTATAAAGAACTTGAGCTTCAGGGAGTATAAAGACCTGTTGTTTTGTTTACTTTTTTCTCATTCAGCTCTGATTCCTCCTCATTGTCACCACTCACTTACCCTCCTTGTTCCCATTTTCGATATCTGTTTCAATTCATAATTTTTGATGGACAAGATAGCAAGCATAGTTGTTTTTCTAGTGGTCATTTTATTGCCTATAAGTATTAGAATGAGGTTCATTTGAGGCTGGAAGGATAGGGGAAGAAAGGGTAGTAGAAACATGTTACTTCTACCCCATTCCTGGGCTTGTGCTCCCCAGGCTAATGGGGTACTTTTAGACTGTTCTTTCCACCCTGAAGTAATTTGCTTATTTTGGTAGAAATTGGAAAGTGAGGGAGTTGGAGAGGCAGGTTTGGGAAGGGTTGTTGCTTGTCACCATTGTCTAATTCTACATAGTAACTTTGATTTCTCAAATTAAAAATTCCAGTGTTTCCTGTGAGGCATGTTGTACCAAGTTGGGGCTGCATAACTCACCTTTGTTTTTTCCTTCCCTTTCCTTATGCTTTTTTTTTTGCTTTTCTCCTCCAGCTGTGCTTCCCATATCTTCACCTTTGGGTGTCACTGCTGCCTTGGGGCCACCTGGACCTACCATTCCCCCTCCTTACTCTCTCACCCCCCAACAGTGCCCTCTGGCAACCACTAACCAGTCTTCCCCATTTCCTTCCCCTTCTGTTACTGCCTCAACCTCTTTTGAAGCTCCTTTTTTTCCTCAGTCATCCTCCGGGATAGCCCTGCCTTTGGGAGCTTCTCCCTCTGGAACCCCAACTTTCCTCCCAGACTTAATAGGGCCTCCCATCTCCCCAGCTGCCTTAGCTCTGGCTTCCCCCATGATAGGTCCATCCCTGAAAGGTGCCCATTCCTCTTCAACTCCCTTGGCTCTGGTGGCCTTGGCTCCCCCTGCAGTTCAGAAGAGCTCTGCTTTCCCACCTACCCCTCTGACCTCACCTCCAGTTGCTGGAGCTGAGTCAGTGTCAGTAACATCTCTATCAACTCCCATTGTTACCTCAGACTCAAAAACCTCGTCTATTCAAGCCCCCTCCCAAGTATCCCCTAATACAAAAAGTACCTCCAGCCCTCCAGGTATAGTCAGTGCTATTCCATCCCGCTTAGCCTCTGTTCAGTCTGGATTAGCTTCCTGTCCCGCCAAAACACATATCACTTCTCCTCAGGTCAAAGACATCCCTATTCCCTCAACTCTAACTTCTCCACAAAATATGATAACCCTAAAGGAGTCCCTTGGTCTGCCTGATGCCCTATCTTCTTCAACCCAGTCTATTCCTGTAGCTACTTCCCAAAAGACTGTGGCTCCCACTGATCCAACGCCCCTAACTTCTCTGGGCTCTTATGCTGCACCTTCTTCACATCAGAGTTCTTTTGGTTCTTCTGTCCAACCTTTAGGTCAAATAGGCCAAAATACTCTCCCAAATCCTATAGTGGATAGCATTCCTGTAGGTCATTCTTCCGTGGGGGTCTCTTATCCTTCTCAGAGATCTGTAATTCCTCCCCTTCCTTCCAGAATTGAAATGGTTCCTGCTGCTGGGGCTGCTTTTCCAGTGGGAGCTCCACCTTCCCACCTTCCTGTCAGTGTTGACAAAGCTTCCTCTGCCATCACTAGTACCCCATTGTCCCCTACAAACGTGCTAATTTTCCAAGGCTCTCCTAATGCCACCTATCATCAGCCTTTAATGACTCAGGTTCCTATTGCTTCTCCAGGGAGTCCAGGCTTCAAAGACACGCCTGTTTCTTCTATTGGAGTCACCCCACTTAAGATGCCAGGCACTGGTACAGTTTCTGTAGTACCTACTACTACTGAGGTATCTAGTTGTGTGTCTCCTCCAGTTTCATCAGGTTCTATAAGCAGTAAGGACCCAACTTCTCACACTTCATTCATTATGGTACCTGGGGCTCCCAAACAGCTTCCTACTCCTCAAGTAATAACCACTCTGGGGATACCACTCTCTCCTCTGCCAGCCCCTGAAGACCCCCAAAATCTCCCCACTTCAGTATTGGTAAAGCTCCCCACCCAAAAAGATTGCCAAACTATACCTGTCTGTCCTGTAGGAGCCCCTGTTTCTCCTGCCCATGCAAAACATCCCACCAAAAAAGACTGTACTCCATTGGCCTTGGCAGTCCCTGAAGATTTCCCTTCTCCCCAAAGTACCTCTTCTCTAAAGATGTCTTCTCCTGAGCCCACTTTAGCAAAGAAGGGCCTTTCAGAGTCTCTTCCTGTAATGAAGCCAGCCAGCATTGCTGCCTTTCCTCTGGATGTTCATAACTCCCCAACCTCTGTCATTGAGCTAAGTCCCTGTGCAAGCCCAGACCCTGCCAGTCTGCTCAAAACTTCTCCCACTACTCCTGCTGGGGTGATTCCTGTAACTGCCCAAGGGACCTCTACTGCTACAACTATAGTTAGCCCTTTTCTAGAAGGAGCTGTCTCTTTGGTTCCTTCAGTCACTGAAAGTTGCCCTATGGCTCCAGCTCTGGCCCCTGAAATTCCCAAGTCTATGCCCATTTCCTTTCTTCCCCCAGCTGGGACTCCAGATGTAAAGAAAGTTGATGGTATTTCTCACACCTCAGCATTGGCATCTGCAGCCTCCTCTCCTGAAGGACCCCCAGATGAGAAAGACTCTGGTACTTCCATCACTGCATCTTCCAAAGGAACTCGAACTTCCATCCTTGATTCCCCAACTCCTTTAAAGATTAGTGTGTCTCCTCAGACTAAAAGACCTCCAGCAAAGAAGGGTCCATCTACTTCACCTACTACCTTGACTCTTGTTCCTTCTATTTCTAAAAGTGAACCTGCTATCCCCGTTTCTCCCATTGGAAACCTTTCATCCCCTGCTTCACCACTTGAAACTTCCCTTCTTCCAGAGCTCAGTCTCTCTTTTCAAGGCTCCCCAACAAAGAAGCATTCACCCACTTCTCCTTCCTCCAAGGAGGCCCCTGCTATCTCACTCCTCCCCAAAGATATCCCTACTTCCCCAGTTGGGACTCCTCCCTCTGTCAAAGGGATCCCAGCAGTACTGTCTCCCAAAGGGGCCCCTGCAATTCAGTCCACCAAAGATGTCCACACTCCCCCACCCAAAACAACTCCTTCCAAAGGGGCCCCAGCAACATCAACTCCCAAAGGGGTCCCAGCAACACCATCCCCCAAAGAGACCCTCACTTCCCCACCTGTGGCTTCTCCCTCTTCCAAAGGGGCCCCTGCAACTCAGTCCACCAAAGATGTCCCCATTCCCCCACCTATAACGACTCCTTCCAAAGAGGCTTCAGCAACATCAACTCCCAAAGGGGCCCCCACTCCCCCAACTGGGATTCCTCCCTCTTCAAAAGGGGTCCCAGCAGCACCATCGCCCAAAAAGGCCCCTGCAACTCAGTCCACCAAAGATGTCCCCACTCCCCCACCTATAACGACTCCTTCCAAAGGGGCCCCAGCAACATCAACTCCCAAGGAGGCTCCCACTCCCCCAACTGTGATTCCTCCCTCTTCCAAAGGAGCCCCAGAAGCACCACCGCCCAAAAAGGCCCCTACTTCCCCACCTGTGGCTTCTCCCTCTTCCAAAGGGGCCCCTGTAACACCATCCCCCAAAAAATCCCCTACTTCCCCACCTGTCACTTCTCCCTCTTCTAAAGGGGCTCCAGCAACATCAGCCCTCAAGGGGGACCCTGCCCCCCCATCTGTGACTCTTCCCTCTTCCAAAGGGGCCCCAGCAGCACCATCTCCCAAAAAGGCCCCTACTTCCCTACCTGTGACTTCTCCCTCTTCCAAAGGGGCCCCAGCAACACCATCCCCCAAAGGGATGTCAGCAACACCAACCACCAAGGAGGACCCCACTCCCTTACCTGTGACTGCTCCCTCTTCTAAAGCAGCCCCAGCAACACCAGCTCCCAAGGGAGGCCCCACCCCCTCACATGTGACTTCTCCCTCTTCTAAAAAGGCCCCAGTAGCACCAACCCTCAAGGGAGACCCCACCCCCCCATTTGTGGCTCCTCCCCCTTCCAAAGAGGTTCCAGCAGCAGCATCCTCCAAAGGGATGCCAGCAACACCAGTCTCCAAAGAGGACCCCACTCCCTCACCTGTGACTGCTCCCACTTCTAAAGGGGCCCCATCAACACCAACCCCTAAGGGGGTTCCTAATTCCCCACCTGTGACTTCTCCCTCTTCCAAAGTAATGCCAATAACATCAGCTCCCAAAGGGGACCTTACTTCGCCACCTGTGACTCCTTCCAAAGGAATCCCAACAGCACCACCCCCCAAAGAAACCCCCACTTCCCCACATGTGGGTTCTCCCTCTTCCAAAAGGGCCCCAGCAACACCATCCCCAAAAAAGGCCCCTACTTCCCCACCTGTGGCTTCTCCCTCTTCCAAAAAGGCCCAAGCAACATCAGCCCCCAAGGAAGATCCCGTTTCTACACCTGTGACTCCTCCCTCTTCCAAAGATGCCCCAGCAACACCAACCCCCAAGGGGGGCTCCACTCCCCCATCTATAACTCTTCCCTCTTCTAAAGGGATGCCAGTAACACCAACCTCCAAGGCGAGCCCCACTCTCCCACCTGTGGCTTCTTCCAAAGGGGTTCCAGCAGAACCATCCTCCAAAGGGTCCCCCACCTCCCCACCTGTGACTCCTCTATCTTTTCAAAGTACCCCAGCAACAGCAACTCCCAAGGGGGGTCCCACTTCCCCACCTGTGGCTTCTTCCAAAAGGGCCCCAGCAACACCATCCCCAAAAAAGACCCCTAATTCCCCACCCGTGGCGTCTCCCTCTTCCAAAAGGGCCCAAGCAACATCAACCCCCATTTCCACACCTGTGACCCTTCCCTCTTCCAAAGAGACCTCAACAACCGCATCACTCCAAAGTTCACCTACTTCTCCATCATCAGTCACCTGTCCCATGGAGGCCATAGTCCCTCAGGTATCTAAACGGCAGTCAGCAAAGAAAGGTCCTGCCACTCTCAAAGAAGTATCTGTTGCCCCATCTCCAGAAAGTGCATCAGTTGTCAAAGCTCCCACTCAGAAAAGTCCATCTACCAAGAAGAGTTCTCCTTCACCTTCAGTATGCCCAGATCCCTCAGCTAGACCATTTCCAGCTCCTTCAACATCCTCTACTCAGAAGGGCTCCTCAAGGACTCCCAAAGCCCTCCCTATTTCTTCCATAAAGGGCAAAGATCCTGTTCATGCCCCAAAGGTCCTCTTGACTCCTCCTGAGTCCAAGACATCTGCCCCTCTATCATCCGCTGCCTCTGAGAAGATCCTTCCTAAAACTGGATCACCATCTGTCTCTCCAGCACCCTCCCCATCAGTCTCTCTGCCTCTTGCTCCCTCCCCAGTTCCCCCTCTGCTTCCTAAACAGCAATTTCTGCCGTCCTCTCCTGGGCTGGTGCTGGAATCGCCCCATAAGCTCCCATCCCCTGCTGATGAGGATGAGCTGCCGCCTCTGATTCCCCCGGAACCAATCTCGGGGGGAGTACCTTTCCAGCCGGTCCTCGTCAACATGCCCACCCCCAAATCTGCTGGGATCCCTGCCCCAACCCCCTCTGCCAAGCAGTCCATTCTGAAGAACAACAAGGGTATTTGCCTTGGTTTGCTGTGTGCATGGTGTGTCGCCCACACCCCTCTCAGGGGCTACCCACCAATACTAACCTTAGGGTGCGCCTCTTTTTCCAGTGTATCTGCATAGAATATAGAATGATACATTTAAATGTAGAAGCTTTAGGAATATGAAACAATCTTGGTTTTCATAACCTCCATTATGTATTATCTTGTGTCTCATCATAGTGACTATCGTCACCAGACTAAACTGCCATCTTCTTTACCTAAGTGATCTGACATTGAAAACCAAGACCTACCAATTTGCTTTAATCTCTACCACGTCACTAACCTTGTCCCTGGGCCTGTGATTTGCTAAATTACTATGGGATCTGAATCTGCTTGAATTTCTTTTTACTTGTAGACTTAGTAATGACCAGTTTCCCAGGGACTTCTTAAAAATGTAGAGACCTGCTTTTTCTAGCCTGAGAATGGTACAGGTGTCTGCTTTTGTTATTTACTCCTCAGTCTCTTGATGCTTAGTCTTTCAAATGAGAGAAACTTAAAATATCTTAATTCTGTTTGGGAGGGTGAGGGTTGGCGAATTTACAAGGCAATATCTAGTGGAGAAAGGTGACTATTAGAGTTATAGATTGGCATCATTGAGAATCTTGGCACTATATTGCTAGATCACATTGCTAGAGTGAATGGTGTGAAAATAGGCTAAATGTGTGTACACAACTGCTTCTGACCTGCCTCCACAATGTGCCTTATTGTCATTCTCACAAAAGAATCTTGGAAACACCTTATCTGGCAGAATTTTTCCTGGGGTGGTTCGGTTACTGGGTTAAATTTAGAGTTAACAGGGATCATTGTTACTTGCTTGTGCCAAGAAGTGAAGACCCTAACAAAAAGGAAGTAGTCATAAGATATATGTAATATGTAACCTGTTCAGCTGTACCTAATGACTACCCTTCATTTTTGGGGCTGGGTCTTTAATGGATGTGTACACACTCATTTCTTACTAAGTTAATGGTCCTTAAGCTGACTTCTCACAAGTAAGTTTGTTTACATTGAACTTTGTGAGGTCTAGAATAATCCAGTGACCTTGAGTCCAGGCAAGCCACTGTGAGCTACTTCCTACAATTTCTACTACTAAATGGTAAAAGTTGTTTGTCTACTTAGGATCTGGAACAGAATCTGACAGTGATGAATCAGTACCAGAGCTCGAGGAACAGGATTCCACACAGGCAACCACACAGCAAGCCCAGGTGGGTATTCTCTTACTAACCAGTATATAAGCAGTAGATCAAGACAACCAGGATTGATCAGAAAAGCAAACATTGTGTACAGGCAGTCCCCTAGGCTTATGAACAAATTTTGTTCCTCAGTCTTTAGAATTTGTAAATTAATTAGAACAGGTCCATGCCTGTCCTTATTTAGCGTTACTTTAGTGCAAGGAAAGGTTCTCCAGGCCTTTTCACTGATTTAAAAGCTGCTGCAAGGGCAGTAAGTGAAGGCAGTGTGATTAAAAAATTTGTTGCTAATAGAGGTTGGGTTAATCAAATATGAATTGTTCTTAAATTATATGCTTGTATCCCAGAACTGTCACCTATATTTGGAACTGTGGGCTTGAAAAGCGAAAACCTGGGGATTGTGGTATAAAAGTCTCAGGTTCGGCTTTATTTTCTCAGCTGGCTGCAGCAGCTGAAATTGATGAAGAACCAGTCAGTAAAGCAAAACAGAGTCGAAGTGAAAAGAAGGCACGGAAGGTAAGATTTTTAAAGTGCTAAACAAGGATTAAAGGTTTTGATGTGAAACATCTAAAGTTGGATTGGTATTGGTGGAATCATAATTAAAGTAGCAGAAGTTACTATGGCAGAGATCCCAAGAATCTTGGGAAACCAGTTCCCTAAAGGAGCCGTGGCAATGCCGTAGGATAAGCACTGGATTGCTGACCAAGAGCTTAGCAGTTCAAGCCACCGGAGAAAAATGAGGCTTTGTGATTTACAACCTCAAACCATACACAGTATAGCTGTGAGTTAGAATCAACTCAATGACAGTGGCTATTAACTTATATCAACTTTGCTTTAGATTGGGTATTTTTATGTTCAATGCTTCCTAAAACTGTTTCTAATGAACTTGGAAACCTATGTCTATTCTTTAGGCTATGTCCAAGCTGGGTCTTCGACAAGTCACAGGGGTTACTAGAGTCACTATCCGGAAATCTAAGAATATCCTCTTTGTCATCACAAAACCAGATGTCTATAAGAGCCCAGCTTCAGATACCTATATAGTTTTTGGAGAAGCCAAAGTAAGTAAAAAGGGGTTTTTTTGCAAGTTCTAAAGCAAGGTTTCTCAACCTAGGCACTATTAACATTTGGGGCCATTAATTTGTTGTTATGGAGGCCGGTCCTATATATAACTGCAGACATTGCCAAACAACTTCTTGGGATGGGGGCAGGGGCAAACTTACCACAAATTGAGAACTGTTGCAGTGGATGCAGGAAAGCAGTTCAGCTAAACTGTGGGTTGGGTTGAGAACATAGGAAAAGATAATAATATGGCTTCTTTTCATTTACCACAGACTAATCTCACATGAAATCTATTTTGTGTCCCATAGATCGAGGATTTATCTCAGCAAGCACAGCTAGCAGCTGCTGAAAAATTCAAAGTTCAAGGTGAAGCTGTCTCTAACATTCAGGAAAACACACAAACTCCAACTGTACAAGAGGAGAGTGAAGAGGAAGAGGTATATCAGGAAATATTTTAATCCTTTCTATATAGCAACATGGAGTCCTGGTGTGGCCCTGGATTGCAAGGTCGGTTTGAACGACAAGATCAGCAGTTCAAGCTCACCAGCCACTCCTTGGAAACCCTATACAGGGTCATTATGAATCAGAACACTCAATGGCACTTAACAACAACAACATACAGCAATATAATATATTTTTGTTCAGGGAAAGATTCTATTAAGGTCTCGATTCAAAAGATGCTGACTCCAAAAAACTGTGATCTCTCTTAACCGCTTAGTTTATTGAGGTTTTTTTTTTTTTTCTTCATCTTTCTTAGGTTGATGAAACAGGTGTGGAAGTGAAGGACATCGAATTGGTCATGTCACAAGCAAATGTATCAAGAGCAAAGGCAGTCCGGGCCCTGAAGAACAACAGTAATGATATTGTAAATGCCATTATGGTAAGTAGCCAAGCCTTTTTTACTCCTTGACTCCTCCGTCTGCCTTGACTAATTGTTGTTGGCTTTTAAGAATCTGATCGATTACATTGGATTAAACCGATGGCACTTAACAACAGCAGCAAGCCCTGAACAGCCTCTTGAGCATAAGGAATGTCTGAAATAAAAGAAAACTTAAGTCCTTTATTTTTTTTTCTGCTTCATGTCAGCCAATTCCAAAGTCTCATTCCAAAACCTATTTTGAGTTTCCTCTGGTTTTAGTGACCTAAAATCTCCTAATTTGCCTCTAATTAACCTCTGATTGTATGGCGCTGTAGGATCAGCTCTGGGCTGGGAACCACAAGGTCAGCTATTCAAACCCACCAGCTGTTCTTTGGAAACCATGTATACAAGGTGTGGTCACTAGGAGTTGGAATTGCCAACAACCTCTGATTATCTCTTTTCTTTTACAGGAATTAACAATGTAACCATCTAAAAACAAGGACTATTTTTGGTGTTTCAGAAGAGTAACTGCAGTTTGGTTTGAAATTTGTACTGTTTCTATCATTAATAAAGTTATGACTTCTTGTTGGATGAACCCAGTGGATGTTTGGTCTCTTCTCAACAAAGAATATGAAGGCTCCAGAGATGGGAACACAGATGTATTTGCCTTTAAGACCTCTACTTCAGTTAAAAGATTTAGAGCACAGATCCAACTTTAAAACCTCAGCTTTTCTCATATTGTAAGAAGTTATTGTTCCAAACAATTTGATAGGGTCTTGTCTTAAGAGACTACTACATTATAAAGTTAATCATTTTTAACTTCTGCTTTACATGTAACTCCTAGTAAATCCTGAATTCTTTGTATATAAATTCAGCCCTTCCTCAGAATTACATTCTTATTGAATACATATTGAGGCTTATCTGGCCTCTAAGACCAGCAGTTTACTTTGCTTACGTCTTGACAAGAGGATTTGGTACGGTGTTGGAACAGATGGTGGCTGTGTAGGGAAAGACTGCACTTGGTAGAAGATGAAGAGCTACTTTGTGAAGGGGAGGATTGTGACGACGATGTACAGTGCAGCTGCTCTGCTCTTGGCCATGGACTGTGCGTGTGCAGGCATACTGCGTACTGTGAAGACATCAAGAAGTCAACCTAGTCAGGGAAACCTTGTTCATTGATGATGTATCTGGCAAACATAGTAAAAAAGTGTTATGTAAAATGAAATAAGATACCTAACCAAACACATGATGCTTTTTTTTTTTTTTAAGTCAATAAAAGGTAAATTTCAGTTTGAATTGTCAGAGAATAGTTTTCAAGAAGCAAAGGACTTAAAAGATGGGTAACCTAGATAATGTCATGTAAGACCTTTGGAACTAAGCTTTGATTTATTTTTATTGAATTCAGTCTTATCAATCCCGATGATGATTAGATTGCAGGAAGGTTTGAACTTCGAGATAAAGTAGTTCAAACTGAAGCTGGGGACAGGGTTGCTATGGGTCATGACCAACTCAGTGGCATTCAACATCAGCATGATGGAGTAGAATAGGCATTACTTTAGCAGATGTAAGTGAAAAGTAAGGCCCCAAGGACGTCCACCAAAACTGGTAGGTGACTGGAGAAACAAGCTGAAGGCGGGTTGAGAATTAAGACTTAACATCTCACTAAGGTAGAACAGTTTGATGCAATGACTAGAATACTAAAGGCCCTGACTACCAACTCAACGGTTTATGCAATTTGGTAACATTGATTACATTTGTGGAATTGTGCAATGATTCTTCACACTGTTTTCTGAAATAGTCCTTATTAACAAACTTAAGATAGAAACTCCAAAGTTTTCTGTCTTAATTTTTGAGTTGTCGGTTTGGCCTTTTATATTAAACTATGATAAGCAGTGGACTGCAAATCACAGGGTCCACTGTTCTAACTTGGGACTCATTGGAAAAAAGATGAGGCTTTCTGCACCTGTAAAGGTTAAAGCCTCAGAAACCCTGAACCAGGAACTGACTTGACAGCACTTAAACACCACACACTATCCACCACTCTGTCAGATTCCTGTACTGTGGTGGTTTGCATGTTACTATGATACTAGAAGCTATGACACCAGTATTTTAAATACCATAGGGTCACTATGGTGGAGAGATTTCAACAACAGCTTCCAGATCAGGAAGAAGGCTGGTTGTTGTTAGTGACCCTGTGACAACAGAACAAAACACTTCCCTGTCCTGCACCAACCTCACTTCATGCACATGGCTGCCACTGTGCTAATCCATCTCATTGAGGGGGT